ATCACAGAAAGTGCTGCAACCCCTAATAATAGAATGGCCAACGGGGCCTTTGGGTGTTGCGCATTTGGCGTGTTGCCTTTGCTTATATGCTTAAAAAAATGGCACCACACGAATCATGCAGCTGGGGAGTCGAGAAAACCACGCTGACGACACATGCAGCCAAGTTCATGCAACAACTCATGAGGTGTACGTTGAAGGTCTTCCTGTATGTTGTCAAGCTGGGTCTGCCCGAGGCAGCGCGCGAAAATTCAAAGAGAAGCGCTGGCCTGACTGTGTCGGAAAGCTGGTCAAGTTCCCAGTCAAGCGGGCCCAAGTAAGGCGGGGGTCAAGCTTAGGGTGCGGCGCAACTTACGGAGTTCAGCGGGTCCAAGTTCAGAAGGGGTTCCCAATGTTTGCAACCATCCAAGTACGCAGCATGGCAAGCAACTGCCAATTTGCTTCACCAATCAATCTGCTGCATGAATATTAGGTGATTACCCAAAGGTAAAGAACTCCCTACATGAGACACCCCCCACTACTAAAGCAGGACCGTACCAATCCTGAAGTTTCTTTTTACTTGGACCCCTCTGGGCATTGCACTGCAGGTCACGGACATGTCACACCCAGCAACTGGGATGCTTGTATTTGGGTGATTTAAACATCATCTTTTGGGCCACTTAAACACAAGTGTCCTTTCGGTGGGGTGACGGGTACGGGGGGGGGGGGCATATGTGGAGCCCTACAAACCAAGCAGCTCGCCGGGATCATTTTGTCCATTAAACTGTTCCCACGTGAGCCGTCAAAGATCGGTCATTCATGAACCGGGCGTGAAATAAAATAAACTAGATCCTCCCAAAAAAAGGGTGAAAGGGCACTACTGGGGGACCTAGTAGACTATGATCCAACCTCCTGGTTTTTGCTAGTGGAACTGGTCAAGATGCGTTTTTTTGGCTGTGCCCACTTTTGTCGAAATAACACATACGTATTGAGCTCATGTGCCAACGAGTGCATCTCACATGCAGGCTCACATGACGGGCTTGAGTGAAACCGCGGCACTCCAGCTGGAAATTCCGATGGGTTGGCGGATGCCAGTTCCTCAAAGAAGTCTAAGCCACTAATGTTCAAACAAGCCTCGGTCCAATTTCGCAACCCAAGCGCCCCACTTGGGCTAAACGCACACAATTTTGTGACACGCGGATTGACAGCTTGGTCAAATGGGTGGTGTTGACCCCATATTAATCAACCCCAATTCAAATTAATCGGGGGGTGTCCCTGGGTGAAATATGGGGAATCCTCACTTTTGGAGGGTGTCCATTCTGGGTTTAGTGGGGATTCAGAGAGGGGAGCACCCCCTTATTAATAAACTGGGGTTGATTAATACCGGGTCAATATATTATAAACCAGGAGAGTACCACTTTATTGCCGGGGTCCGCTGCCTGTTGTAGACATGGAATGTCTCTTCTTTCAAACTGGAGGGTTGGCCAATACGGTGTTCCATAATCCCTGGAGGGAATACACTGCAAACGACATGGGCCAACTGCAACCAATATTGATAGCTCGCCTGTCCGATTCACCTGCAGATAAAAGCTTGCCCTTTCGGGACCGTGACTCAACATGGACCAACAAAGGCATCCCAACAGGTTTTTTCCGGTCAGATTTGGAGTACAGCAGCGTCCTAGAATTTCTGGTGGCAGCTTCAAAGTACGTCAAGCCGGATTGATTGACCCAGTAGAGGGGTGGTTCCCACAAAAAGTCAGGCTCACTCATTATTTAGTCGTGGCTTTATGAATCCTCAGTCAACATTACTTTGGTTGGATCGGCTGTGACCTCCGATGAGTTGACAACTCCTTGATTGTTTTTTGGAAGACCGGCCTTGCTGGGGCCAGCCAGCCAGCCCATGTCTTCCAGCCGTGAGAGCCGTCGGGAAAACTGTGCATGCATGCAGGTGTCTCCGCTGAACCCGGGCGCGCTGTCTAAAATTATCCCCACGTGGCCATGCTGCCAAAATGGCGCTCATCCTTTGAATCTTCCTTCAAAGTAACCGAAAAGCGGGTGCCAACTCATAGAAGCATGCGGTCACTGGAGGGATTTTGCGCCTCAGCTGTTCGCCTGGCAGCGGAACGCGGCCGACCTGATTGATGAGAGAGGTGTGTTAACGCCACTGGTTGTGATACCCTGGGCCCTTCCCGTGACGAAGTTGTAGCTTGAGAGATGCCCTTTGTATTACAGCACGTGGCCCTAGAACCTTTACAGATTATGCCAAGCGGCCTTTTTTCGGATGGGGATCTCAACTCTGTCGTCAGTGACAAGGAAGGGGAGTATTGAAAAACAAACAACCCCGGGTTGCAACCGGAACCAACGTTGAACCAACACTTCAGGGTCCGTTTGTAGAAAGAACCCAATTCTGCTCGTTCAGTATGTCAGGCGCTAGCTACGAGAACGTGCCATCCGTCTGATAGCGCAGGGTCTGCAGCCGACACCTCCGCAAACAGCGACCTCAGAAAGATGATCGCCATCAGACTAGGCTATTAACTCGGTTGCTTTCTGCTCCCCCGTTAAAAGGCTTGTTGTGCTTTAATGGAAAGCCCACTAGTTGGCAACAAGTTACAGTCCTAACATCCAAGCAAAATGAACCAAAGTTAAGTTCAGATGTCGAAAGTATATTTTCGCCATAAAGATACGCCAGATAATCGCCAGATAATCGTCAAGGTAGGCTTTGACCTCTGGCGAGTTTTTGATGAGTGAGTGCCTATTGGTCCGTCTCGCATGGGCTCCCATGATGGGAACAGGCCTCCTAAAACCTTCATCCAGACTCAAGATTGGGGTTCTGCACGGGCTGTTCAAAGCCAACCTCAAATCTACATATTCTGTTGGCTAGTGAAAATTGAACAAGTGTATACATATATATATATATATGTATATGTCTGGATACATATCACAAAGGTGGCCAACTCCTTTCGCTAAGTTCAGCCCAAGCCTGAACGGAGGGGATCGCCCTCAGTGAGTTTTCAAGGGAAGCCACACGGATACCCACCCAGTGACGAAAGGGGGTGGAGGGGGTGGGGTTCTCCTTTCCCCAAGCACCGCAGGGGTATCATGTTTGAGCATGTCTCTACCCAAGTTCCACTTTACTCGTCGGCCAAGTCCACCAATACCCCCCACTATCCCGCCCCACCCCCGCGCCTTCTGCCAGGCCTGGGCCACCTGTGCGCGGCGCTGCACCACCGCGGCCCGGAGCTCCCGCAGCAGGTCCTCGGCGCCCACCGGCTGCGAGCGGATCGGGCGACCGAATCTCAGCGAGACGGGCTGCGGAATTCCGGGGGTGGGGGGGGCCCGGGGGGGAGGGGGGCTTTGAACCGGTGGAGGGAGGTCCTGGAAAAAAGGCTTCCCTGAGGTTCAGCAAAAGGAAGCAGGCGAGGTATGGGGTCGTCTTTTGAGCCGGGAACCATCTTTGGATGGCTTTAAAAGAATAAAAGGACAACCATAATTTGGGGGGGAGGGGTACTCGATTTTAAGAGGTACCCATATAGACAAATCTTACCCTTGCTCTCACTAGCAGAAGGCACATGTGGAAGAATGCCTGGAAGAATAGTTACTCTGGGAGGGGTCCCCTGTGAGGTGCCATGTTAGTGGGAAAAAGGGTGGATAGTTTATCAGTTTCTCAAGGAGACACTCTTAGAGAACAACTCTGTTCAGCCGACAACGGCAGAGCTCGGATGTGGGTCCCAAAACCGAGGAGTTGACCCCCGCAAAAAAAGGGAAGAAGCGAACAAACATGGCGCCCCGAGGTTCAAGAGCCGCGCTAGATAGGTCCAACAGCACTTGCCCCAAAAATATGGGGCAAGGGGATAAAACAAATCATGGAATATGACGTTGCAGGACGTAAATAGCAGGGGTCCCTATATATATAGCTACTTTTGTTTTTGCAGGACGCAAATGCAAGGTCTGGAGACCCGTAAGATTCTGTCGCCCCTTGTGGTTTCCTTTTCGACAAAAATAAAGCTAAGGGCCTGTGATATGTGTCACTCAGGAAGCACGAAAAATCATGAAACCCGAAAATGCAAACAACAAACGTTGGAAGGGAGCAAAACAAATGAAATTTCGCACTTCAGTGGGGGTTTCTCACTAAACCACAACAAGCAAAAATGTAAAATGCTTCCCAACAACAACCACAACCCGTCCTTCGTCATGTTGAAGTCCAAGCAAGAGTCAGTCACCTCAACCAGTGGACGTGCTGTCTGGTCAGCTTCGGCAGCTTCGGTGCCAATATGAGTATGTCCGCTTTTGAGACCTTTTCCTTGGGTTGTGGTTTTTCCTTTTGGCCTTCTTGACCCACCGATGTCCGCAGGATTTGCACGCTTACAGGCAAGGGTTTAGGATAGCGCTCAAGGCCTCCGGGCCGCACATGGGTCCTTGCGGAGGAAACAACTCGACTTGCAGAGTCTCTTGGGCTGTTCGAGAGGGAATCTGAGTTTATTGACAGGCGTCTTCTTTTGGGGCCTTGCACAGTTTTGGTTGGCTCTACAGGTAAGCCAACAGGAAACCACCATATTGACTTGAGTGTCTTGTTTTGTGGTTGTTCTGTTTTGTTTTTCTGTGTTTTTTTTTGGAGGGGGAGGGGGTCTTGCGCTTTGAGACAAATCCAGAAGTCTACTTTGGACATGCTTCTGCCAACCTTTTCCTCATGTCCCCAAGTGACTTTGAATATCTGTCATCATGCGCTTCATAGATCAGCGGACATTCACCATCGCTAAAACGAGGAAGTAGATGTCATCCACCCCGGGTCAAGAGCTCAAAGCACGGCTTTGAAACCTTCCATTTCAATCCTTTCCGACCGCATGGGAGAAAGCAATTTCCTTGGACTCTGTTCACTCCGCCTCAACCGGACCAGCAGCTAAGTGTGTGTCTTTCCACGCCACAGGAGTCGTTACTTCAAGGAATCTGATCCAAGTCGCGGCGTCTTGAAGCCGACTTTCGACCAGTTTGGGCTTCCCAAGGATTCAGTCCGAGGTGAGATATGGTGGTGGGTCCGGTCCCGCAATAGAATTTTGGGTAATGGAACCAACGACTAAACTCTGCGGTTCGCTGGTGCTCTAATTTTGACCCATGGCCCATAGCCATATGAAAACCCTTCGATTCCAGAGTGTGGGGTCTGGAGGAAAGTGAACCTTTTGATCCGAGTCAAGGCCCTGGGCTCCCTCCAGGAAATTCGCTTTGTCTCAAAGGGGACGCCCGACATGGGTCCTCTTGAGGTTTGCAAGCTAAACCCCCCCAAAAATATACCTCAAACAAGGCGCATCTCATATCTCATATCAAACAACAGGGTCACGTGTTGATAAAAGGCCGTGCTACGGCGGCCCTTTCTGCACCTCGGCAAGATCCTGATCCAGTGCGATTTACAGTAAAACCTGCGCACGCACCGTCTTGAAAGGTGAACAAAAACACAGGGTTTCGTGCCTCCGACGCTACAAATGCAACGGTTTTTTACAGTGTTTCATGCCTTCGGGTTCAAGAAGTGCCTAAATTTCGAAAAGTAGCTTGTGAAAAGTTGAGGCCTTTCCTGCGATGCGCGGTTTCCAACTCTTGCATAAGATCACAATCTTTCAATGTGCCTCTCCAAACAATACTGAATATGTACTGCAGCAAGCGAGGGTTGACGCCCTGACCACGCCCTGCTTTGCTATTCACAGAACTGGGCAAAAGCTTCTGAAGAGATTGCCAATAGCGGTCTATGCGCTGAGCTCCTGTGGCAACGCACTTGGGAACCTTCCTGCGCTTCACGGTGCGTGTCTACTCATTCTTGTCATGCTTCACATGGAAGGAGACGGCCCAGGTAGGACAGTGGGAGGAGGTAGAACGAACAAAGGCAGTCACAGGGTCCGTGTCAGCACGTCAATGCGGGATTCCAAGTGAAAGGGGACAGCAAACCAAGCAACACCAAGCAGCGAACACGAGTGTGGGAGGGCACACCCAGCAAACCTCCGCAAAAGAACAAGAGAAAGAGCAAAAGCAGCGCAAGCGCTGAGCAGTTACGGCAGCGGCCATGCAGCTTGTGAACAATGTCGCTACCATCCCCCCCCCCACCCCCCAGCCCAGCCCCAAGAAAGGGCCGAAACCTGCAAAAAACCACGGCCTAATATCAACACGCCTCTAACAACAGTGGTCTTTCTTGACCAAACGCCCTCTTGATTCGTAGGGAGGCATCTCTAGGTTTAGAAAGTGGGGGCCGGGGGCCCTAGTTTAAACGATTTAAGTTTCAAAGGTTTTAGGTTGGCCCCATTTCTGGCTCCATTTTGGGGCAACCTCATTCCGATTCATCTGGGCAAATCACAATAAATCCCCAAACCCACAAAAACCTTCATCACAGGGCCCGGCCCGAATCGGGAAGCTCATTTTTTTTTGGTCAGGCGGATTAGCAACTGGTTGCTTGACGGGACACATTCCGCAAATTTAATTTTGAGAACCCAACCTGGGCTGCCCTCAGATCCCCCGCCAAAAGCTTAACTTTCAGTGGGTCACATGGAAACTACCACGAAACACTCAAAGGCTAACAAGCTAAGGAACCGGATGGCTGAGAGCCACCGAGCAACTTGTTCACTTCAATGGAACCAGGGTATCTAGGTCCTCCAGCAGAGAGGATAGAATAACGATACCCTTTTTGCTGTAGACTATTTTAGTAGGGGAACCCTCCCCCAAAGAAGAAACGGCAAAAGGGCACGACTGGGGGACCTAGGTATTGTAACCTCTCCACCGAGTGCTGGGCGCTGCAGCCGTACTGCAAATCCTCGAGCTTCGTCACACCTGGGGCAGCAGTCATGGGGCTTCCAGACGAGTGATGAGAAGGGTAGAAAAAGGAAACCATGCCATGTGAGTAAAACAATGGTACAATCAAAACCGAGAAAACAAAAAAAACAGAAAACAAAAACAGTAAAACATGTGGGTACAAAAAGGAATCAATCAACACCTGATACAAAAATGGTCGACCCAGAACCATGTCTCAAGAACTAAGAAGGCGGCCGGGCCGCAGCTATTTATAGCAAGAGGATCGTCCCTTACCAACCTTCACTTACCCAGGTTTTGATTGTGGCTCGTGTATTTTTTGGGGTTGACTCTTTGTCAGTGGGAATCGACGAATACCCTCTTTCCAAGAATCATGGAAGTGCACAGAACCCCATTGAAAGACTTTCCTCTGTGCACTTCCGTGTTGGTGGGAGGGTAAAAAGAGAAAAACAATTGATTCCCCCTCTGCAACGAGTTGTACTTTTTGTAGGACAAATAAACCGTACGTTGAGAATCCACAACAGAGCAAATCACGACCACGTCCCCTCTCAAATATTACCACCAAACACCGAGCACCCAAAACCAGTACGGCAACAAATTCCAGTGGATCCATTTCCGTATATAGGTAACCAAGGCCTTGCCATCCTGGACGAAAAAAACAGAGAAACAATGGCCGGATCCCTATACGGGGTTTCTGGGGATTGATCACCAAGGTCCGTTGCTCACATTTTTCTTCACCCAAACATCGAAACCTCGGTCGCCGAAACGTTTCGGCCCGCGGACTTGCCTGGATCGAGGTGTTGGTTCCCGGCCACCAGGAAGCTCTCGATAAGCACCTGAAGACTTGGGGGTTTGGGGGGTTTGGGGGGTTTGGGGGGTTTGGGGGGTTTGGGGGGTTTGGGGGGTTTGGGGGGTTTGGGGGCTTGGGGGGTTTGGGGGGTTTGGGGGGTTTGGGGGGTTTGGGGTTTCGGGGGGTTCGGGGGGTTCGGGGGGTTCGGGGGGTTTGGGGGGTTCGGGGGGGTTTTGGGGGGGGTTGGGGAGGTTGGGGAGGTTGGGGAGGTTGGGGAGGTTGGGGAGGTTGGGGAGGTTGGGGAGGTTGGGGAGGTTGGGGAGGTTGGGCGAGGTTGGGGAGGTTGGGGAGGTTGGGGAGGTTGGGGAGGTTTGGGGGGGGGGGGGGGCGCGGGTTGGTGCGGGAGGTTGGAGGGTTGGGGAACATTGGGGGAGGGGCATGTTGGGGGATGTTGGGTGCATGTTGCGTGGGTAATTCGGGGCGTACAACTGAGCCATGGTCGACATATGCGATCACCGCAAGAGGACGCAGCTCAGGTTTCGTGGACATTTCAGAGAGTACCGCCCCAAGTAGATCACAGGCGGTCACAGACTTCTGATATCTCTGCTGAATCCTTGAGCCTCATTGAGGACAAACAAAAACGTCAATGTTTAATATCCAATGGTTTCCATGAGACGAAAATGATACACGGGATTTCACGCCTCAAAGGACCTCATGCCGGTTTGCCTGTGACTCTGGTAGGAAAAGGCAACCAGTCTTGCTCTCGCTTCTCTTGATTTGGCCTGGCTTGATGACATCTTCAGCAAAAACAACTTGATTTTGGTGGACTCCGCTGGACAACATGAGTCATCATCCTAGTTGACAACGGACTTTGCCGGACCCAGGCCTTGTCAGAGGCTGGCTGTTTGATCAAAGCCATTGAAAGAGAAGGCCCCCAGCCCCACGGAAAATTGCTTAGCTGTGAAGGGATTCTCAGGAAGGGAACCTTTCTGACGTTATTCATCTTCAAGCAGAGCTCAACAAGAGAGGAAAAACCGGTACCACTGGGAAGCCGGGGTGACGCAATGCACATAAATATGCACGCGTATGCGTGTGTGTGTTTATATATATATATAATGTACCCCTCAACAACGGATGTCGCTCTCAGGCCTGGCCCGAAACTGAAGAATTGACACACCGGGCCTCACTCAAAATCATAAGAACCATGCGGCATGATCACCTGGTTGCTTGCCAAGCGGGGTAAAGCCATACCCTTCAGCGAAATCTTGTTGCTCCAATTGGTCGAAGCCGACATGTTTTGCAATTTCAATTAAACAGTGCATGATTGGAGTAGAGCTGGCTGAAACAATCATTCGCTAAAACAGAACGGTCCATGGTGGGAATAGAATGGGATGCGGTTAAAACAAGAATGGTCCAAGACCAGACTTGGGTGAAAACAACTGGGGTTTAGTCAAATTCGTTGAACCTGGTTGAAATGGGAGCTGGCTGAAGCCGCTTTGAGTCGCCCACGGCCCGTTTTCCCGTCTGAGCACCAGGCGCCCCCGATGGCGGAGTTGCCGGCAGAGACCTCCGGAAAGCTGAAGAAAAACGACAAAGCAAAAGGGTTCAGAAAGAAACTGGGGTGCTTCTTTTGCCGCATTTCCTGGGCAAATGAGGGGGGCCCCCTTAAAGTCTCGGAATCCTTTTGGAGGGGGGCCCTTCATTTTCCCGGGCAAGTTAATAAAAAAAATCAAGCCTGAAAGAAACGGAATGTTTTTGTTTCGGGGGCTGACGGATGTTTAAACCTGAAGGAACCGGATTGACCATTGGGCGGTGTTTGCAGACGTTTACACAACCTCCTTTTGGGATCATGGACCACAAAACTGAGAGGCGGGGAAATCAGATCGGCCTGCCTCAACCTCCCTGGGCGAACAAGGAAGCCCACCACTGAGGCAAAGGACAAAATCTGTGTGCAATTGAGGGAAGGGTCCTGAAGATTTGCAAAAAGACTTGTCCGGGAAAGTTGGGTGCGCCCGGCTCGCGTAGGAGAATAAAGGTGGGTCCCCCCCATGTTCTTCGCAAACAAACGTATTCAAGACACTAGCAGTTGTTTTTGCCTCCTGCGGGTTGCAATCCTCTTCTGTTGGTTGCTTTCTGCTCCCCTGCTAAAAGTTTTTACCTTGTAGTGGTTTCATTCGGAAAACCCTTGAAAGTTGGCAACAAGTTGTTCAGTCCGAACATCCCTTGGCAAAATGCACCAAAGTTTCGTTGCTTGTTCGCCTCTGCGGCAAGCGATTGCTGCCGAATGACAAGTCCCTAGCCGTGCGCTCCAAGTCAACGAGGTTGATCTCTGACTCAAACGCCAGACCAGTAGCCAATGGACAAGAGGAAAGACGTTGATCCATACCATTTTCTTGACATCATCATGGACGTGGACAACTAAGTAATCATGGACGTGGGGTTCCCGGGCCTTCCCAAACATCTATGGGTTGATTCCTTTTCCATTCTTTTCAACCGTCGTTCTTTTCAAAAACCGGCCGTTTCCCTGGGTTTCCGGAGGGTTTCAAGAAAGAAGCATCAGTTGAAAGCATGGAGGCTAGCACTAAAAAAACACTCTTCTCAGCTTCCAAGCGCCCTTGGGCTTTCATCAGCTTGGACACAGCTCGACCTGACGAGCCTTGACGTCAGCGTCTCCCCGTCCCCGCCTGCTCAGCCACTGAGCGGCATGCCACGACCTGTGAAGGGCGCCCCGACCAACAATATGGCTGTGGCTCAAAAAACCGGTGCCAAAATGGAACCCTGGTAAGTGGAGACATGGACCAACACCTGCCTAACCCCTCCTGTTTAATTTCCAGCCACACCCATATTATGTCTTATGTCGGTCCACATTTAGCCTTAAGATCGACAATCAGTGTGTGTGCTTTGTCCTCTGGTGTCTGTGTCACGGCCGTCACCTAAAAATAAAATCAAGGGCTTCCAGCGATTAACAAGCAAACACCCAATAGGCACAACCGCACGACTCCCGCTCGAACTCCTGAAGTTCCTGGTGCTTCACCTACCTCAAAGGAAGCGGGGCAAACATCTCAAGTGCATCAGCCAGGGTCTTGGGAAATTTGGCTGGGAACACTTACGCAAATGTCCAATGACTACACTCCCTCAGACTAATATGGAAGCTACCAGAAGGCCTCTGTGAATGGAACCAAGTCTTCCAAAGGGGTCCTGGGAGCTTGCATGTTAGCCTGGGGAGGGTAATTCTCCAAAAGGGGAGGGTCAGTGGACATCAGTCAGCCTCATGCCCAAGCAAGGGACCTTCGTCACGGGTGAGCTCGCTTTGCCCTCAAGCGAGATTTGTCAAACAAAAACTGGACAGAAATCCAAACCCAAACCAAATGCTAGCCCAGTGGTATCCTGGGAATGCACAGCGGCCAAGTAGCCCAGCCCTGGTGTTTTTGGATATCCCTGGTATTCTAGGCGTTGATTCCTGTTCCATTATTTTCAACCATCGTTCTTTTCAAAAAAAGGATCAGTTTCCCCTGGGTGTTTGTTGGTTTCCTGAAAACAAAGAAGGATCCGTGGAAAGAAAAGAAATGGAAGGCAGCACTCGAATTGCTGCCCTGAAATTTAGATAGATAGAGCCCCCCGAAAGAAAAAAAACAACTCCGAACCCAAAGGGAGCTTCCTCTACAAAGGACGGCTCGTACAAATTAAAGTAACCCCCCAGAGGCATCCTGGGTTCGCCTCTCACGCTCTGCCCTGTGCCGCGCCTCGCCCTCGTAGCGCTTGCCCGAGTTGCCGTGCGAACCTGAGCCAGGCAAAGCAAACACTGGGGTTTTCCCGCGAGAAACAGGGGGCCGCCACTACAGGTTTGGGTTTCCCAGGATATATGACAAACAAGAAAAAAGACAAACCAGAAAAAAAAAAGAAAAAGAAAAAAAACATGTGAAAGCTCAGGCATGCCTTATCTTGAACCCCCGGCCAATGATGCCTAGTGAGCCCCTACAGGTTGGCTTTGACACAGTCCCACTTGGTCAAGGGTGAATTTGGACCTTGTACACCCTGTCTGGGTTGCTATTGAAAGGAAACTGCAAGAAACAAGGTATGATGCATGAGCCCTGAAGAAAATGCGAGCATCTTGGCATGAATTTGCACGGCATTAGCTGTGTCGAGCCAATGGGGCCTCTGTGTCGACGAACGAATTCAGCCCACTCAGCCGAAGGATTGTAATGTCAAACTCAGCTTCAAGCCAGCAGGATTAGCCGGTGTGAAGCCAATCCTGGGTCACGTCGATATCCGCAGCTAGCTTTTCAGTAATTAGAGATCACCGTTTGGATCAATTGTCAGTCGCCAGTAACCCACGTCGATGATGGCCCCCAGCCGCTGCCTGGTTCGCATTCCCGAGTAAAACATCCTGCGTGCAAATTCCAAAGCTGTTCTCCTAGCCGTTGAGGGCCATGCTCTCTCCCCGCACGCACTGCGTCTGGCCGTTTCCTGGAGAAAGCCTTCTTGCCCGACGGGATGGTCTGCTTGGAGTGCCAAGTGATGAAAGCTCAGCCATCTATCTTCTGCGACGGCGAACATTTGCCTTAACCGTATTATCGTTTACGGGTGTGGCTCAAAATTTGCGCAGGTTTTGGTCCATGTTTCCACTTACCAGGGTTCCATTTTGGTACCGGTTTGTTGAGCCACAGGCTTATACTATGATACATTGATGCTATTTACTTGAACGCCAGTAGCTTCAGATCCACGTCCAGAGGAAGTGAGAGCCAGTCAAAGCCAGTCAAATACTGATTAGCTTAGACGTAGGCTGTTCAAGGCTAGATATGTGCAAGTCCGGGTCTGAGCGTCAGGGTACGTGTCAGTGTAAGTGTGTGGGTGTGTGGGTGAGTGGGTGGGGGGTGAGGGGGGAGGAGGTGTGCGTGTGTGTGTGTGTGTCCAGATGCGCGCCAATCAGTTCACACAGCTGAAAGCTCTCCTGCACGCTGCTGACATGCCAAGTCAGCCAATCGCGATTCTACTCCCGCAAACAAACATGGGACCCAGCCCGGAAAAACCGGAGCAAAAAGCAATGCTTATTGGCTCTCCAGTAGATAGGTTAGAATAAGGGTACCAACCTTGTTTTCTGTAGTCTATTTTAGTAGGGGAACCCTCCCAACCAAAAAAGAAACGGCAAAAGTTGGCAGTACCGGGGAACCCTCTCAACCAAAACAGGGCTGAGAAGTTGCACCTAGCTGGACCTAGTTTCACTAGCCAGGTTGCAACCAAAAAAAACTGCGAGGAGACAATTGGTAGGGTCCAAACGGCGGCGTTTGATCGTCGGATTCAGCTGAGAGCCGGGCAGTCGATGAGGATCCGTGCCCCACCTGGTGGTGGGGGAGGAGGAGGTGGGGGAGGAGGAGGTGGGGGAGGAGGAGGTGGGGGAGGAGGAGGTGGGGGAGGAGGAGGTGGGGGAGGAGGTGGGCGAGGAGGAGGTGGCGAGGAGGAGGTGGGGAGGAGGAGGTGGGAGGTGGGGGAGGAGGGTCCCTAAAACGGCTCAACTCTGCTCAAATCAGATCATGTGTCCCTCTTCGTAGTCGAAAAATCCCCATCGAGGGCTCCATGACCATCCCTACCCATAAGTTAATGGCGGCCTTTTGACCATACCACATTTCTTCATAGGGGAACCCGTTGAAAGTGAATGAGTCTATTTTTGCGCTGGGAGGAAGGGGGAGGTTGTTTAGTTGGTAAAACCAAAGTCTGCACCCTTACCGACATTCCTCCCATTGCGTGACCAGGCAGGGGGTCAAACTTGCATGCCTGCTTTGCAACGGGGTGTTCACGCCCATGCTGAGCAAGAAGCTCAGGTCGTGCTGTTCTTAGCGCTGAGGCATTGATCCGGCTAGAGGCCCCTTTGGCAATTCAACTATGGTTTGAGGTGATCTTCCCCAGAAAAAGGGAAAAGGGGTTTCCATGAATGTTACCATAAATCCAGGGTAACCCCCCCCTGCCCCAGTTCCATTTGGCCATGGGGCATAACCTATGGCAATCCCATTTTGGGGTGGATGAACATCCATACAAGTTGTTTGATGTTATGGCTCCATTTTGGATGAACATCCATTTGCGACCTTTGATGTTCACCAGACGTTTCCTGGGGGTCAAGACCCCCAGTTCCATTTCTAAGGGACCCGGCGGTCGGGGGATTTCGGGCCTTGGAAGCCTCTGGGCTGCCCAGCTAAAACCAGCGTCCTGGAGGCGCTCTTTGGCCTCCGCCACAAAGGTCTCACCTCGCCGATTCGATTCGTCGCGCAGACCGCGAGTCAGGCGGATGGCGGATCCAAAATTAAAGGATCATATTAAATGTCCAAAAATGCTTCTTTCCCTGAAATGTAGCCCCAAGCAGCGAAATTGGCATGTTTTGGGCCTGTTCGCGTCACTGTGGCAATGGGTGGTTGGAAGCTTGTCCAAAGGGAAAACGTGCCCAACTGCCCCAATCTCTACCACGGCTCAGTCCCCTGTTCCAAGCTCATCTTGTAAGGTCGTACCCTCGAAGCGGCAAACAGTTCTCGTTCGTTCCGTGCACCAAAAACAACATAGTGGATCCCAATGAAGGAAATTGTCATGGGTGACGTCGGACACCTGAAGCTAGTCTGTGACGTCTTAGTCATTTGACCAGGACTGTATCGGTTTGACTTTTTGTTACGGGCTTCGACAAAACATGTGAAAGGAATTGTTGCCTTTCTGTTTGTTGGAAACATGTTGATTTCATGCGGTCGCATACACAACCGACCGAAGAACAACAAGCCATACGGACAAACTCGGTCAATCACAAGGGTTTGCCGAACACACTGGTATGCGCCAGGAACCCTTCAACATCATCCCAAAAGGAAGGCAAAGGTTCAGAAACGACCCCATAGGCGAACTTGCCACAACTCTTGCGAACATCGAAGCACCCAGGACCCAGGAAAGGGGGGAAGAGTAAACGCCCTCTTGTGGTTTTGTTAAGAAAAGGATGCTTTTGTTGTTGTGGCAAGCTATGGAACACATCCAATACAGTTGCAAAAGGCTCCAGGAGTACTCACGCGAGCATCGCCTCTAAGCGAAAAGCCTAAACATGATGTCAGCTTTGCACCTGAATCATCTGGAAACTAGAAGCAAAGTGAGACTGTTGAAACTTGGAGGTATCTCAGTTTCGGCGCATCCCACTCAGGGACCAAACAACCGAGCTTCACTGCCGACAATGAATGCGAGCAACAGAAACCGCCTGGCATGCCGCCTTGTCACATTTGGGGAGTCCTGTTCTCCCCCCCCCCTGAATCAGACGTGAAACTGCTCGCCCCCTCTCTCCAAAGCCGCTGACTTTCACAATAGAAAGCTGGGCCTTGATCAAAGCGACCCAAAGAAAGCCCTCGAACCAGTTTCTTCTACCCCTACGTGGCCATGCGGCTGGCCCCCCAGCAGCCACAAAAAACTGTCCCCCAAACACCCGAACCAAACAACTCACACAACCGGCCACGGTTGCGAGACGGGGCAGCCGGCAGCCGGCCAGCTCCGAACCACCAGGGCGCCGGGCCGAAGTTGGGCCCGCTCTCGCTGCCCCGCAAGATGATGTGCCCATCCAGGTTCCCAGGCGCCTGGAGTAAACTTTGGGCCCCTGCAAGCTGGGGGGTCAGAGGGGACACCGAAGGAACACCGACCAGTGATAGGGGGGTTTGTTCCCCGAGTTTGAGACAAACCCAGGTGTAAACTTGCCAAACTCAAAATTGAAGACTTGCTCGACGAGCTGTTTCCAAAAACGGGGAATGTCTAAAACCTAAACACCTGGCTGGCTCTGATTCCTTCAACCACCGTGAAATAATGGCCCCTTACTTCAGGCAAGTTAATTCAGATAGGGGATCCTGTTTTGTTTGCCTCTTGCCTGCCCATGAACCAAAACAAGGTTAGAGGGTGGCCACAAAGGCAGCTTGGACAAACCAAAATCCAACTCCGCCCCGGATTGATGGCAAGCGCCCCGGTGTCTCAGTACCAAACCAAAACAGCGAGCCTAGGGATTAGAATCTCCCGGTGGCTACAGCTTCTTTGTTGAGGGGGTCCACACCTTTGGGGCAAATCGAATTGAGTTGTTCTGCGGGTCTGCGGGGCTAAGAACAAGTTAGCACAACCGTGCCATAGTCGTGCGTCTCCTGAGCCATTTTTGTTTTCCCTTTGTTTAATTACTTACAAATTATAGCATTGGTGCCTTCTCCGCTTGAAGAGTTGACTGGCCCTTAGAAGATGCCTTGCTGTGGGTCCCTCACATGACTTAAAATAAGGGGACCCCCTGAATTGGGGCTCCTTTTGAAGGGTGTCTCGTCAAAACCCAGCAAAACGGGGTAATCCGGGGGAAAAAAACACCTGCGGAAAAGGGGACGACGCTGGGTACCACCTGGGGTGACTTACCGCGGCTCACATGGACAAAACCAGTGGATGTTGTCCACCAGTGGAAACCCTGGGGTTCAAACCACAATCAAAGCCATGGTTGGGTTCAAGCAACCTTTGTTTACCTAAGGATCGTCATCCAAATCGGGTCGCAAGGACATTGTTGTAATTGAAATCGGTTGAACCCTAGGTACTAGTACCCCTTCTTGAGGCCGTTGAAGGGAAACCTTAGAAGACACACCCAACTCAACCAAAAGCCCGCCTGCTCTATCCGCACGCGCCCGTGGGTGTCAGTGGTAAGCCGCTTCTGCGGCGCCACGGCCGCCACGGCCGCGTTCACCGCGCTCTGGATGTCGCCTCGACGGTTGAGGGTGTGGTGATCCTTTTGCTTCTTCTTTTGCTTGGGGGCGGCCTCCAAAGGATTCTGTCCTTGCCTTTTGGCATGCTTTTTGCTTCTTTGGCTTGGGGGGCCTCTAGGGGTTCTTTTCCCATCTTTTTCTGAGGGGTTCCCCGGTTTTGCCTGGAGCACCCGAAACGTCCTATGGTCATTTACCTCCATATGGTATATGACGACCAGAACAACGAATCACCTTCTGCATTGTCAAGTGTTCACCTCTAGCTTTGTGTGTGGTAGGAACATATCTAATCTACGAGTGTTTCGCCAACCACTAAAAAAGGTAAAGCAGGGCAAACAAAAATGGCGCCACACACACATACCGGGACAACTAGGCCTGCAAATGTAACATTTGACTTGGGGATGAATTCAACCAATCATCCCCTGCAACACCACAGGTTTGACTGACAGAAGTCAGCGTGTGCATGCTTACATGGCCCTTTTGTACGTAGACATTTTTCCACGAATATTCAACCTGTCCACTGATTCAGAGCCATCTCGCAGCCATGCCATTCGGCTGCAGCGCCTCCCCTTTGGGATCGAAAGGGCGGTTAACCACTTCCGATTCATACACAGCCACCGTCAAAATTTGCCACACAAACAGATTTTCCAGGACGTTGAGAGAGTCCGATGTCCCTCCCAAAAGCGTAAATGTTGACCGAACTTATTTTCGGGCTTGTCTTTTTGTTGATACCCTTTGCTGGGGCTGCGTTTTTTTCTCCCTGCCCCGCCTTTTGGACTCGGAATCTTCAAGAAACCCCGTGGATGGCAACCAAAAAGCGCGCATCTGATGCCCCGCCGTTTTTTTGGTTTTTGTCAGGGTTCCCCCACCGGTTGGACTCGGGTTCTTCCTCCCAGTTTCCCACCGGTTGCACTCGGGTTCTCCTTTCCAGCGCCGCTGCCAAAAGCTCCGTTTGTGCCGAGCGAGGCGCCGTTGCGGCCGTTCTTGAAGCCTATTGGCATGGCCAGATGCGCCGCGAGCTGGCGGTGCACGGGGCTCTCCACCGTGCGCGCGCCAATCGACCCGTAGGACACCACGTCCTAAGCGGGAAGGCGAGAACGCGCGAGCGAGGGCTTCTGATTTCATCTCAAGATGCAGGTATGAAGGGAATCTTGCTTTTGTATACTTTTTCTTTTAGCGGAATGGATTTGATATGAGGAGCTAAAAGGATTACTCACATGTCGCTCCTATGATCATGACCTAAATTTATATTACAGTGCCGCCACAGACCCGACTCGGATGATTTAGGCACTTCTGGTAAGTGTGATGCGCCCTTTTCCCAAACCATGTCTACGCAATCTGTATCCCAACAGAGTCGGCAAAAAGTACAGCAGCAGATGACCATGTTCTCTGGTCGCTTGCTGATTCTCAGTATGGAAGCCAGTCCCTTCAAAGCAACCGCAACGGCTGGCTTACAGGGGTCACAGTGGTGTCCCTTTAAAACAGGTAAAAAACGGATGGAACCCCCTGGAACTCTCCGCATTCCTCCGGGAAACAATACTCTGCTGCCCTCAGATCCCCCGCTAAAAGTTTAACTTTTAGTGGGTTAAATGAAACTACCACAAAACACTAAAAGGCTAAAAAGCCAAGGGGATGGCTGGGAGCCACACAGAAGACACACCGACCATAGTTTGGGTGCGGATTGTTTTTTGTTTTTCGTCCGGGCGAGTAAAATGTTGTATTTTACAGCATTTTCTGACCAACATCCCTAGCATCACCAACCAATCGTGGGTAACAAAATCGAGAAAAAAGTAGCTGGTGGGTTGACGGGGTCAAAAAATGTTCATTCAACTAGGAGGGCATTTCAGTCCCTGAAAAAAAAAAAACGTAAAAGATAGCGGGGGCAGCGGGGGGTTGGGGGGGGCGGCAGCCCCCCCCATGATGTCGGAGGAAGTGATGATTCAAGTAGGGGTGCAATGATTCAAGAAAGGGTGCGATAGAATTTAAAAGGCAGCGGGAGGGTTGCCGGGGGTGGCTTCCCCTGTGATGTTCGAAGAAGTGCATACATACAGACATACATGGATTACACAGATTAATGTTGACCCCGTATTAGTCTGTAACCCCCCCCCCCCTTGAAGGTTGGAAGGTTTTGGGGGGGCAAGATTTTGGAAGGTGTTTTGCCTTGACCCCCTAAATAATCTGGAATTGAGTTTCCATTTGATTTAGTATTGCTGGGGCTTCCTTTTGAGATCTGGAATTGAGTTTCCATTTGATTTAGTATTGCTGGGGCTTCCTTTTGAGATCTGGAATTGAGTTTCCATTTGATTTAGTATTGCTGGGGCTTCCTTTTGAGATCTGGAATTGAGTTTCCATTTGATTGAGTATTGCTGGGGCTTCCTTTTGAGATCTAGAATTGAGTTTCCATTTGATTTGGTATTGCTGGGGCTTCCTTTTGAGATCTGGAATTGAGTTTCCATTTGATTTAGTATTGCTGGGGCTTCCTTTTGAGATCTGGAATTGAGTTTCCCTTTGAATTAGTATTGCTGGAGCTTCCTTTTGAGATCTGGAATTGAGTTTCCATTTGATTTAGTATTGCTGGAGCTTCCTTTGGGGGGTGGGGCCGATGGACCGCACTAATTAGGGGGGAATTATTAATTGGGGGTGTTAGGGGCCAATGTGGGGTGCTCTTTGAAACCTTCTAAACTTGATTTGTTTAGTAAAGAATTTAATAAGAAATCGACCATCTCAGAACACTTTTTGTTTTGTGGTTTGGGCAGGCCCAAAAGTATCCACCAAGCTTCAAGATGAGAGTAGGAGGTGGAGATGAGAGCCCTAAGCAAGGCAGCAGCATGAAGAGAAAGGTACCAGAAGAAAGCATGAGCCCATTTGAGACAAAGCACCTTTTCAGCGCACCATTCAGAGACAGCATGGCAAGCAGCATGAGTCGATTCAACATCAGCAGCATCAGCTAGCACCAAAAACCAGTTTACATTGTAATGAGCTCAAGAAGCAGTGGAGAAAATGAGATAGCAGCAGCCATCTGGGGGAGGGACCGGTCTAATTGGGGGGGGGGGGGGGTGTTTTGCATCATTTTTTTATTTGGGGGGTATTTTCTGAGATATGAATTGTTTAGTATTGGGGGGGTCCACCCGGACCGGACTAATAGGGGGGGATATCAAATACGGGGTCAACAATACCTAAAATGTCGTATGTTGCAGCATTTTCTCGCGAAATTGGACGCTCGAAAAAAGTGATGATTCAAGTAGGGGTGAGACTCAATCTCTGCAAGAAATCTCAAAACGTAGCGGGCGGGTTGGGGGGCGCGGGGTTATCATGATGTTCGAAGAAGTGTTGATTCAACTAGGGGTGCAATTAATTTGCAAACAATCCAAAGAGTAGCGGGTGGGTGGGGGGGTGATGTTCGAAGAAGTAATGATGCAAATAGGGAGGAACTGGTGATGCTGATGATGCGGGAAGCCAAATCCAAAAACCAATGAAAGGGTGCAAAAGCCAAAAAGCCCAGAGAGGAACTGTGAAAGCAGAGCATGCGAAAAGCCAAAGCCGCATAAACCAGCGAAAAGCCGCATAAACCAGCGAAAAGCCGCAAAAGCCAAAAAGCCACCAAAAGCCGCATAAACCAACAAAAAGCCAAAAAGCCCAGAAGCCGAGAAGCCAAAAAGCAAACAAGCCAAAAAGCCAAGAAGCCAAGAAGCCAAAAGCGAAACAAACATCCCAAACAAAAACGAGACAAATCCTAAAATAAATACCCCTCCCCATAATTTTCATGTTGGGGAAACAAGACCCACCGCGCTTCTTGATTTAATATTTCTGGGTTCAGCCGGGGCCCTCGCCAACAGGGCGAACCTCTTAAGGCACCCGCCTCCAAGTACGGCGCCACCAGGGGGTCCAGGAACTCCGTGGCACTGGGCAAACCCAAAGCGTTCATGTCCAGCCTCGGATGGCTGAAGCTGCTTGGCCGGTGATCTCTATAGAAACGACAGATACCCAAAGTTTGAATGGTTTGTTTTTTGGTCCGCAACCCTAGTTAGAAAGGTGATTGAAAAGCTGAACTTCTTTGTAACCCTAAGTTATAAGGCTCTTGGAAAGGCGAAGTGGAAGTAAACTGAGGTAAAGGGTAGACTGGGGGTTAATACCCACGTAGAAAATTGCAATGGGGTTGTGGGCTACTTTAAGACCACGTGTTGTCATGATCATAAAACAATCATATGTGTAATTTGCAAGCGCCTTATTACACAAGTTCCCACAGCACCTGCTTTACAAGGCAATTCTCTAAATCATAGTAAAAGTGACCCCAAGCATCCCCTTGAATGGACCCGGTGGTATCAAACCGCGTGTTGTTTGAGGCTGGCTACCTTTTTGTTGGGCTGCTTTAACTGGACACAACATGCTCACATGTCGTGCCAAAAGACGCCTTAGGGTTGATAGGTTGTGACCAACCTCTTACCTATCTGGAATATTGTCCCCATTTCCTCCATTTGCATAAGGCCCCTGGAACAAATCAACACCACAAGCAGTGTTCGAGTCCCTTTCAAACCAAGAGGGGAAGATAACACACATTCTTCAGCATCCCTCATGGCGGTTTGGACTGCTGGTTTGCAGGGTCGGGGTGGTTTTCCCTTTACCTTTTACAAAAGCCACAATCTCCAATCCCCAAACCACCAATCCAACCACCAGTTTGGGGGCTGTCCTCAAATCCCCTGCTCAATGTTTAGCTTCTAGTGGGTTCAGTTGGACCCAAAAACCCGAAGGGAATGTTAAATGGACACCCAACCATCCAACCAACTAAACAATCTAAAAGCCTAACACCCGAAGGGGATGTTAAATGGAAACCGAACCACTCAACCGACCTAAACCCTAAACGCCTAAAGACCTAGTTGACAGCGGGTCAAAAATAGGTTAACCCCAAAATGGAACCCTGGTAAATGGAACCAAGGACTAACACCTGCGGTCCGGTGGTTTCATTTTGACCCACCAGTTGGACCCCGAGAAAACCGGGAGCCGAGGGGCAGCACGCGCCGCCCCAGCGCCAGGCCCCGCGCCAGGTCCTCCTGGCCGTTCAGCGCCGGGTCGCTGATGAGGCCCCGCCAGCCCACCTGCGACCGTTTTTTCACACATCGACGACCCACCAAAACGCGGCTTTTCGTCGGCTTCGGTGTTCCTTTCTGCTTTCCTTCACCCAAAATCGGCCCAACAACGCGTTTTTTGTTGGGTTGGCGTCGACAAGTGTTCGAAAGGAGTGCCAAAAACAGAAGGGAACAACCAAGCACCCAAAAAAACTACACAACAAACGAGGTGGTTGCCTAACTTTGCCCCCCCCCCCCCCCCACAAAAACAAGAAACGTCAGACAACAAGGTGGTTGTCTTCTTGGTTTCCTGAAAGCCTGAAACAAAAACACACCCAAACAGGGGGTCTGCAGAAAACCACGTGGGAAAACACATCATCGCATTGTTCTGGCAAAGGGAACTGTCTCTTTCAATTGGGTTTGCGTCTCGTTGGGCTGGTCGTGAGGCCTTGAGCTTCTGACCATCCTGTGACGGAAACACCAGCTGACGAAAGAATTCAGCTTCACTGTCCACAAAGAAGTAAGCCAACACCTCCCATCCCAAGGGCTCAGCAAACAGCAAGCAACAATACAGAAACATACGTAGCTTCAACCCTGTGTCTAACAAACCAAACATGAGACACTAATTCTGGGAGCGGCAGGGAAGTTGAACCGGTTTAAGAACAGAACACAAGGCCCCCCGGTAAGTTTTCCCATTCAGTGTGAAATGTCATATGGTTTTTGGCTTTCATCGATGGTCACCCCATGTAAATGACCTTTTGATCAACCCACACATGCCAGAGAATCTGCCAAAAGCAGCAAATCCCATGTCCCCGACTCACCACGCCGGGACCCGTGCTGAAGTTCGGGGCTTCTCAAGGTAGGTCCTCCCGAGCCAAGTGTCGGGACCCGCGAAACGCGGACAAGGGGGATGGCCGGCCCCAAAACTTCATTGCCGTTGACTCCTCTGCACAAAGTTTTGTCTTTTTGTGGGTCCAATGGAGAATCAAATACTGTTTCCCGAAAAAGTTGGAGTGCAAAGATCCAAGCCATCACACCAGTTTCATTGATCTCTTCCAAAGAGGAACACTGACTGACGACATTCAGCATCCCAATTCGTGGTGTGGATTGGTGGCTAGGGGTGGTTTCCCAGTTACCCTCGACGTTCAGCATCCCTTGAAAAGGGTGGTTGAGATTGGTGGTTGGCGGGGAAACCGCTCATTTCCCTCTAGAACCGAGGGCTTCAAAGGGGTACCTGAGAAATGGAATTGCACAGGTGATCCCTCTTCACCAGTGTTCTTGAGAGGGGCCTTCCGGCCTGGCGCTCACCTGCTCTATTTTCAACGCATCTCATCCAAAGTCAGCAAGCAAAGCCTCCCACCCCCACTCCACGGACACATTCGCCTCGTGAAAACATGAGCACACGCACCCCTCCCCACCCTCAGACCCTCAGGGTTCACACAGGGACTCGCCTTAAACCCAACCCTACCCCCCCCCCCCCTCGCAAAAAAAAAGAAGAACAAATCCGGTCCTCATGAAAATCAGCAAGTCGTCCTTCACCTCCTCGCGCACTTCTTGCAGGAGCCGCGCGTAGTCCCGAGCCGCACGGGGGTCATGGATGGAGCAAGGGCCCACGATCACCAGCAGACGATCGTCCTGGCCGAGCTGTTTTCAGCAGACGTCACGTGGGTCTACTCGTCTGCCCCCACCCGGAAGCTGTGGGGTTTCTGCCCAACTAAGCTACCGACAGCTTTTAGGGAGGGCCTCCAAAGAATTCCAAGGAATTCGGGTCTCTTGGGGGATTTCACCTGGGCTTAGTTTTCCTGTTACAGGGGCCAAATCCATTCACATGGGGTTGTGGAGTACTGCCAGACCAAATTAAGTCATGATCGCAACACTGACATGATGTGATGTTTTAGCTCCAGTAGAATACCCTCTTTAAGGTAAACACCTCATTTGAAGGGCCCCCTAATCAAGCGGTCCGGTGTCCCTTTGAAGTCCGGTGCCATATCCGGGCAACGCAATCCTGATTGCGTTTGTGACCGCAAGCACTTCTTGCACACGAACCAAAAGGCAAGGGGATCAAACAAAAACGTTGGGGATGGGAGGCTGGTAGAAAAATTGGAAGCAAACTGCCAAAAAGGCGGCCCAAAACTGAGGACAACGGCAACGGGCAGGCCTAAACCCAGGAACGGCAGCAACCGTCCCTATTGAAATTCGTCGCCGAGGCCTGAGCTCGAGTTGGGCCGATCTTTTGCTAGGGGAAGCCTTTTCCGTCAATTTGTTCAGACGAAGATATAAAAGGAACAGCGCCACTAGGTCCTCCAGTAGAGAGGTTGGAAACAGGATACCGTTTTTTTTTTTTTTTTCCCCTGTAGTCGATTTTCATGGGGGAACCCTCCCAACCAAAAAAGAAACCGTAAAAGTTGGCACTACTGGAGGGTCCACTACAAGAAAGACACACCCTTCCCGTCCTCGCCCCGAATGATGGCTCTCGCCTCGGCCCTGCTGAGGTTCACAAAACGCCTCCCGTGGCAGCTGAAAACAAATGAAAACAACCCCGTTTCTCCTGGCAGCGCGGAGTTGAGGAAAAACCCACCTGGCAAGAACAACAAGAAACGCAAATTGATATGATATGCTACATGTAGTGATATGTTGTATTCGTTTGGATCCATGTACCCCACTCATGTCATTCCAAGAAAACTGCAGTACTTGATAATGAATTGGCGCGACCGATCGGGACCTAAATCAATCCAGTGCTTCCAGCCATTGCAGTGAATACAATTTAGATGGCAGTGTTGGTGACCTACGAAACTTATTTTACCGCAAACCTTGCCAAAAATCACAAGGTGGATATGTGCAATTCATTGTGGCAAGGGCCCTTCCCCATTTCTACCCTTCGTACACCTTGAGGCCGTGGCAGTAACCACTGCCAAAGCAACAACGTGCCTTTGGGGTATACACAACACACACACAGTGGCTGGGTGCAGAAACCTTCGGTATTCAGACCGAAACCGACCGCTTTCAATTCTGAGTCACTTTATAACCATGAGAATGGGCTTGCAAAGAACTTTTTGTTTGCAGCTCCCTACTACACATGAACAGAACAACAGCTAAAAACTTGCCAACAACAGTGAAGACACTGATTCATAGTGATTACCAGGGAATTGGGTGCAACTGAGGACAATCAACACCAATGTCTTCCCATCCATTCCCTTGGCTCACAGCCTTGAACTGGTCATGATAGTATCCAAAGGCGACATCCGGTGAAGCCGGTTTTTGCCTTGAGGCTTTCTTGCTTCAGCATTGCGATTTTAACGTCACTCCCGCCGACACAGAACGCCTCAGCGCGTAGGGCAGCGGAAAGGAGTTCTGCAACTCCGCGGCGCTCGGCACCTTCTGAGTGACTGCCGGCGGGGCTTCGCCGCTATCCGCCCAGCAGCGGGCGGCGAAGAGCAGAAGCGACGCCACCTTGAGAGGCCAGCCATGGGTGTATTTCTTCTTCTTTTTTTTTTTCGGGGACCCGCAAACTCCAGACAGGGGTGGCTCGTCCTTTGTCCTTTTTCGGGGCCCCTCCCCTCCCCCAAAATGGCGGTGTTGCTTCTTGGTTTCCCTTTGAACCAATCTGAAATCTGGCTCCCTCCCAAAAGAGACAGACCCAGATGCATCCATAAGCGGGGATGATCCAGGGGCCATCTGTTGTACAAATTCCGCAACCTCAAGTAAGGGATTCCCAGGCCATCGGCCAAAAAAAAACGGGTTTGACCCGCGCTAGCTCGCCCCAGACAAAGGCCCCAAACATGGCATCCAGCCAACTTCTTTGCGGCATCTCCTTGGAGAGGACCCCACTGTTGGGTTCCATGTCGGACCCCTGCGGGTTATATTTTCGGCGAAGAAAGGTTGTGCAAATCTGAACCTGGAGTCAAGGGTCCCGGCAAGCCAGTGGCTTCCATTTTAATTCAGAGCTTCAAAATGGAACTCGGAGATCTGCGTCAGACAGGAAGCATCCTACGCCTCTTTCAAGTGGAAAACACACAAGAGACAACCACAAGGGAACTGATGCCGACGCGTGATTCATAGCGCACTTGTTGCTATGGCGGGTCCCCTTTTCAGTGGGGGTCCTTTGTTCTCCAGACGGCTCTGACGAATATCTGGGGGCTATGATGCATGGGTCAACTACCGAGAGTGTCACTCGCTAACTTCAACTTCCCACCAAATGGTGGCCAGGGGGTGGTTTCCCATAATTGTACGCTCCACAAGAACCAGGGATTCAAATCCCCAAACCGCCAATCCAACTCACCAACTCACCTAGGGGTTGATTCCCCATTCTTTTCAGCCTTCGTTATTTTCAAAAACCGATCGCCATTTCCCCAGGGTTGTTGGTGGTTTTCTAGAAGGATCCCTGGAAAGAATGGGGAAGTTACCCCAAGAATTAAGGGTTACCTGACCCCTCAATTTCAACCCCAGCTTGAACCCCAGGGCTACACCTGGCATTTCCCAAACCAACGCCCGGCGTTTGCTTCAAGGCGCCAGCAGCGCCGCGGCCCAGCGATCGCGCCGCCGCGAGGATCGCGGTCCCCGCGATCCGGGCGTGGACGCGGCGCTTTCCGTGCCCCGCGCCATGGGAGAGTGAAAGGAAAGAAATGCCTGTGCTTCCCCTCCCTGGGACCTGAAACCAGTTACAAACCTGTGTGGCTCCCGGCCATCCCCTTTTGGTGTTTAGTGGTAGTTTCCAATTAACCCACTAGTGAAACTTTTAGAGGGGGGTATGGGGTTGAGTATCTCAGTTGCCCAGTTCGGACCCGGAAATAAAAGGTTCACCTTTGGGGACCATCCATGACTAAATATGGACCAAACGGGGAAACCAAAAGGTCAAAAGGTCGGCTTTGGACAACTGAGGAGTACTAAATGCCCACACCAAGCCGTGACCAATGACTCCCCTATGAAAGGACCTTGAGTAAGGTCAACACTAAAAACGCCCTCCAAACGGAACCTTCATGACTGAGATGTCACAGACCCGGGGACTATCCCCAAATGAAGTCCGATTGTCAGCTAGCAGGTCTGAAGCAGTGCTGTCAGAACAACTCACTGGCAGCGACGCTACCATTTGTAGATGACCTCAGGTCACCTGCATGCGCCAGCGCATCATAAAACAAGAATCCGGTATCCTCCCTGCAATGACCGAAGCTGACAGGAGGGTTTTGGTAGACGAATTGGTGTGGGTTAAAAAAGCAACAACACCACGGGACCGCAGGTTTTAGTCCTTGTTTACATTTACCAGGGTTCCATGTTTGACCCACACCCACATTTGTTGTGGGGAAGTCCATCGTCCACTTCCATGTTGGCCAACCGCATAGGAGACTAGTATGGAACCTGGCAATGAACCCTCTGTGAGGGATATGACTTTTTGAGGGGGCCTCATTCACGGAAAAACATGGTCATGGGAAAGGGGGTTCTCGGCCATGCTATGGGACTGGCGAGCTCCATGCACACGAGAAGAGAATGCGGAAGGCGAATTCGTCAGCAGTCTAAATTCCAGGGACTGCCCTATGGTAGTGAGAGAAGTTTTCCAAAGAGACCTACAGCTTGCCTGGTGTCACCCAGGATGTCAGCGTGAAAAGGCAATCGGGCTGTTCGCATTCGCCGCCTCAACCTTCATGCATCGCCCGGATGGAAAAATCAGCAATCAGAAGGTGCAAGACACCATCCATGATACCCCCAGATTCGATGAAAGCATTTCATCATCAATCAAGAGGTCCGCCAAAAGAGACTCAAATAAAAGAGGGGGCTTCCGACGATGGGTTAGTACTGGTCAGCGTAAGTCGATCCATCCTTTTTGCTGGGTGGAGGACACTCATTTGTGCCACAACTGCAGAATGCTGTCCCAGCACCCTCCTTCCCACCTTGAACTCCTTAAAGGATGCTTTTTGGACAGTACTTCGAATTTTGAGCATGGAACACGCAGTCATTCATTGGAGGGGGGGTAGTTCAGGCCCATCCAAAGAGCCACCAACAAACAGATATTTCCCAAGATCCGCAGTGGCAAACAGATGCTTGTTGTGGGATTGTAGTTTTCCCTTTCAACGCCAACTAACCGAGGCGTCATCTCTCTCGGGTTGTCCATGGCATGCGAGACCCCAAGAGGTGCATGCAAGTGCTTCCAGTTACAAGTGCCACGAGGGGGTGGAAATCGCCCGCTTGTGAGAGATTCTGTGATACCAATGGTTTCTACAGGAAATCAAGAGGTACATGAACTAACACCTAGTCGGTGCTTGTAGTTGAATCAGCCATATATGGTCTGTCCAAGCCCTTGCGGGCGCCAGGCAACTGCCGATCCAGTTTTCCTCGCTGGCGAGCTGTCGAGTCCCGTACCTCTCGTGGCCAGCGAGCGTGAGCAGCGCGAGGAACGTGTATCACTTCATGGGCGTCGAGGCGTGGAGGCGGTTGTTGGGTTCCACTTGGACGCGTGGCAGGTGGGAGTTCCTAGGGCGCTGAGTTACCCCCGGGCAGATTCCTCGTAGTACTCGAAGGGGTTATCCTCTTCATCCAGCAAAGGCGCGCGCCGGGTCCGAGAGGTCGAATGGCAAAGGCAAACCGTACCACAGGCGCAGAGTGTGGCAAGAAGGACAGTCCCAGCCACCAACACTAGGGTCCTGAGCAACACATACTTGCCCTGCCAAAAACAACCCCATATGTTTTCTGGCTAAGAAAAGAATGTATGAAGCAACGCCAAACATAGGCCGAACATGATTGAAGAGACAAATCTGAAGCTAAGTCTGGCAATGGGTCTGATGCTTCCACGCATAGCTGGACACCCCCTCCTCGATTTCATGCAAGGCCGCCTTGCCACTTCCGGCCCCAGAAACCACGCAGAGACCGTGCTGAAGTTCGTAACCTTCAAAGCACAGGGAACAGTTCATGGCCTGGCAGGGGTTGGGGTTGGCCGCGGCGAACCTATGTGTTTGGAACCCACCAGAATGGAAATCCCGGATTAACAAGCCGCTGGTTGATGAATAGTGGGGTGTCTATTTTTAGAGGAAATCCTCAACTTTTGTGGATGACACTATTGATAGAACGGGAAAAGTAATTCGGGATCAACGAAATCAGTAAAAAGGGTGGTATACCAGGGTGCGCCTTATCCCTGGAAGAAACCATGGTTGTAACAACCTCCTATGTAATTCAACATCCGTTTTTAGCTTGTTACCAATTTGGCCCAACCCTGCCTGGCAAATAGCGCCTTAGCTCAGTGGCTGGAAAACACTGAACCTCTTGCCACGAGCGAAACGAAACGAAGGAGTGAGAATTCCAGCCAGCATCAAACGTGGGTCTCCAAAACAAAGTAAAGAACCAAAAAGGGAGGATTGTTGTCCGCAACTTAAGTTCAACTACCCAGGTTTTGAGTGCGACTCATAGAAACACACGAGGGTCGAAAGGAAAAGCTCGCCTTGGGAATCCTGGTGGCCTTCTTGAAGTGTCCAACAAAAAATCAACAAGGGCCAAACAAAGCAACTTCCACAGAACTCTCATGTGGACACTTGCTAATTCAACATGAGGATCACATGAGCAGCAAACCAAACCTCAACCAAGTCTAAAGTATTGAAGGTATATGTATTTGTGAACAAACATTGAAATGGAATCCAGGCGCAGTGCTCATCCATACAGCGGGTGCAACGGCCGGTGGTGCTGCTGCCGTACAAGTTCTCGTTGCAAATGTCGGTGCAAAGCTTCTCTTCGCCATCCTTCCGGAAAGCTTACTGGTTCCACAGCCCTCTGCAAGAAGTGTTGCTTTTTGTGGATCCCATGGAACTTCCACTGTCTCCCAAAAACTTAAAGAAGTCTACAGATCCAACCAAATAGCCACAACAACGAGCTGGAATGACCCCGACAATAAAGGTCTAAGAGGTTTCCTTTGAGGGACCCCCGGGTTTATTCCCAACACCGGAGGTGATCCCTGAGAAGCAAAACCACGCTGGGCAAGCGGGGGGGTGGAAAGGCGGTAGGCAGGGGGTATCTAACAAGGGTGAATTAAGCCACTCTTTAAACCTGGGCTGTCCTCAGATTGCCTGCTAAAAGCTTGACTTTTTGTGATTCAAACGTAAACTCCGAGGGAAAAGCAACACCTAAAAACCAAAGGGGATGGCAAGAAAAAAATGCCAATGGTAAATGGCGCGGACATCTACCATGAGCGAAGCGGCGAAACGACGATAGCTGCTCCCGCTCGCGCGGACACCGCCTTTGCCGGATTGTATGACCGCCTGGAGGACGTGATCGTCCCTGACAACATACTACTTGGCCAGCGGTTGGAGATGGATGCGATGATAGGCGCACACAAGGAATCGCTAAGCTGTCAGGACCGTGTCCCGTGTGTGGGGAAACGGAAATATGGCGCATGATCGTGGTAATTGTGGAATTAGTTATTGTACCCTTCCCTACAGAAGCGTAGTACAACTTGGGATATGGAACTGTGAGCGGAACTATACGTATGCCTATATAACTTGCGTTACGATGCAAAGCACAGATAGTTGATAGATAGGGCAACAAGTGAGATCGATAGATAGGGCAACAAGTGAGATCACGCTTTGATGTGGTGGGAACCTGTACGTGCATGGCCATACTTGCCAAAAAAGCGAACGACTCGCACGAGCGCTTGCCAAACGTGGCAGGGCAGAAACCCGATACGGGTTGCCGACGGCGAGATGGGCGTGCTACAGGCGCACCATGAGGGGTGATGATGAAGCTAACCTAGGAATGTTACTCCTGCCGTACTTGCCCAATCGCTACACAATATAATGACCACGCCTATGCAGCCGTTCTGAACCAGACTAGCTGGGCGTGATAATTCGCATGTTATCTACAAGTTCCAATGCGGGAAAGTGGTGGCTTCAGCAGCGGGTGTGGTGCTCTTTTGCGGCATGTGCCAAATGATAATTGACCAAGTATTCAACACTAAGTATATGCCAGGGGTACACCACTCCAGAATCTCAAAAGCTGCCCTTTCTTCCTGTCTCATTTTAGCTTCGTGTTTATCTTCTAGCCCCTGTGCTGTAGTTCCTCTGCCTTGTTTCCAGTGTTGCTTACCTCTTACTTTTGAGTGGCCAGTAGGCTACCGCAAGTCGTTCGATTGCACTATACATTGTGAAGCAAGACGCTATATACACACACCGGACGGACAGGTCGCGCATGGCCAATCGGCTCAGGCGGGTCCCTGTGGCATCAAGGTATTGTACACGAAAGAACGGCACAAGTCGTGAAAAACACAGCTTGTGAAAGGGTAGATGCCATGTCGAGGGCGTGGTCACGATGTAGCTCCAGCACGTGTTCAGTGGGAATGATACCATGCATGTGAGCATTGATGCTGACATGTCGGCAACCACCTCGCGAGGTCCAGCAGGCAGCACCGGACTCAGCGCAGTCTGCATGGGTGGGCTCAGCCATCGAATCCCAGCCATCCCACAAAAGTTGCGCAGCACGTAGAATGGAGCACCCGGCCCCCATGGTCGTACAATGTTTGAGAGCGGGACTTGAGCTCCAGGATGCTGAACATTGTACGCCATCTGCGCATTCCTGGTTTGAGATCCAAATGTAATGAATGTCTCAAATGCTGCAGTGCCCAGCAAGGCCAAGGGAGTGGGTAGCCACGAGTGCAGCAAGTGAAACGCTGGCCCAATCATGCACCACTGAGGGCATGCTGGAGGACCGGACACTGCAGCGCCAGTGTAGGCCAGCTGCAAGCGTGCGAGCGGTGCCAGCGTGGAGGGGCCGAGAAGGTTGCGGTAGAGCGAGGAGAAGCCAGAGCGCTGGTCCTGCGCAGCGTTGCTCATCGCATTGCGCAGCGGCGTGAGGGACACGATGACGAAGGGTCCGCCGAGCGCTCCGGCAGCGAGGAGGGGCGGCTCCGGCAGCTGCTGCCGCAGCGCCTCCAGAGCAGACTGCATCTTGACCGCACCGGCCGTTTCACCTCTCCCCCCAAAGAGAAACAGGAAAAAGGGATAGTGTATTGAGATCCTTGTAACTGGCCAGATCGGTTCCGATCCTCAGGTGATCGGCCAGTGAATTGATACATGTAAGATGGTCTGGGTAGTTGCGCCAGCATCGAGCCCATCAGCCGAGATAGCTGCCGGAAGATAATCACAATGGATGCACATGGCGGAATCCTGATTACGCAACTCCGCTATCATCCTTGCATCTCAGGCTGCTCATCATTCAGTCGTTTCAATACCCCTTGTGGGTTGGTGCAACACGCAATGATAAGGAAACCAATCATGTGTGAGGTCCTGGTCAAATCCATGTTAGCTACGGTCAAACTCCTATTACTAATTACTATTGGTTTCTCCAAGAGGAGATGGGATATTTACCGAGTCCCCCTGGTTTTGGCGGGGAAAGCAAGTCTCCCCATGTCCCTCCAAATGGACCATAGACTATCTGCAATTTTGCCCGAACCTCATGTGCGCATTGGTCCAAACTCCCAACATGTGCATGTGGGCCAGGGTCATGATTCGGCCCCCGAATCCGCTTAAAGCCCCTCGTGAAGGGTGGAAGACCAGACGTCTTTATCCAACGATCCAAAAGGTAAGGGAGCTGTGACCATGAAACATGGTTTGTTGGTAGATTTCAGAGTAAAGCCTCCACCTGGTTGAACCAAGCTCAGTGCTAATGAGGTGCCACTACAGTAGGTAGCTGTTCAACATGACTTCTGAAGCCTCCTTGATTCTCAACTGTGGAGACATTCATGAAATTTCCACCACGGTTTGCCACCGAAAAAGCGCAAAGACTCACCCGTTCAACGCCGAGCGTCGAAAAAGCGGCGCTCTGAGGGGCACGGCGGCCGGCGCACAGTGAAGTAATAGTTCCGGATTTGCGCCTTGTCCGCGGAGGTCACTTGAATCTGCACGGTGCGCTTGTGGCCCACGTCTAGGGTGGTGAGCAGTGTTGCGGTTTCGTGCCTGGAAGTACATGGCATGAGACCTGTATCCAACAATCGGAAATGAGGCCTGTGTTTGGTGTTGGAGGGGAAGAGGAACGAAAAGAAGTTCGATGAAAAAGGCATAGGGAGTGAAACAGGAAAGAAACCAAGAGTCAAATGGCTTGACACTTATGACAAAGAACTGCGCCCCTTCGGAGCCCTGGAATCCATCAAATCAACCTCACATAAAATCTGAGAAAGTATAAGTAGGGGCCAGTGTTTGGGATACTTGCCTTGGCTTTGTGTACATAGATTCGCGACTTTTCAACTGCGAAGTGTTGTTTTTTTCTTCTTTTCTCCGTTCCACCATCTGTCTATTAAAAAAACAAACTATCGGCATCACGGCCACCGCCTTGAGAACACCTGGTTACCTTCTCTTGCCCAAAAGACCGGGAAATGAGCTGTCAACGTCGAACAAAAACAGGTCGGCAGCTTGATTAGCTTCATGCAAATGGGTATTTGTAGATATAGGTTTCCTGGCATGAAAAAGCACCAGGCTATGGGTTTGAACTCACCACCCTTGACGTAGAGGTAGCTTAGCCAACTGGAAACATAAGGATTGACTCCTGATTGGAACAACCGTGGTAGCTGACCCTAATGGTTCCTTTGTACCGGGGGGATCCTATGAAACAAATACCACAGGCGCTTGTGCTTGTTTTTGCGCATTGCTGTACCAATGCAGAGCTGCCATTAGCAAATTCCTATTCTGAAACAAGCAAGTATCATAAATATACAGATACATACATATATCTCTTGTGAATTTCGATTGGGGCCTTTTGGCTTACATTAGGGGCCAACTAAACCTTGCGTGCTGTTTCGCGCCTAGCTTTAAAGACTAAGGTACTGCTGCTCGCCCAGGTGATCGCCGGCGGGTTCGCCGGATGGTTTGCCAGCGAGGCGCCTTGAATGCAGGTCCTTGGCAATTGGCTGCAGCGGAAGAACAAAAGAACATCCCGTTTTCCTGAGACTGTCAAGGGGTCCCAATGTCTTCAAAATACAGTAGCCGCATACCCCTCTGTTTGGATGTTCAAATCAAAACCAAACAAACAAATCAGACAGGAAGAGGCATAAAAGAGCCAAAGGACCTAAAGAACGAATATAAATCACACACACACACATACACCACAGCCTGTTCAACGGCTTGTCAACAAACCAGAAAGAGGGCTCAGTGCCAATTCCCACGCAAACATTGCACTGTTGAGGGATTCCCATGGGTTTCATTTTACAGCAGGAACAAGTTTGTTGCTTGACAGTCCAGAGAGAAACGCTGTTGGTGGTTCAGGTTGAAAGTTTCCTGACTAAATGCTTTGCATGTTTAGAAGGGCAATCGGTTGAGTTGGATAATGGCAACCCTTTTGGGTGCATTTATCTTCTTTTAGGGGTCCTCACAAATGGAACTGTACTTTTGGGTTGTCCTTCAACACCAATGAAACATGGTGCCCTCAAGAAATGACACACCCTCTTGTTGCCTGACTTTGAGAAGGAGCTTCTTTGGTTGGTCAATGTGTCAATTTTCTTTACCTAACCTCCGGGACACAAAACAAACCAAGCTGATCGATGTTTGTGCCATGGCAACCCTCAATCTAAGACGGTTTCCGCTGCCCTCAAACCGCTACCCCTCAAAGGGAAAACTGGTATACACGCTACTTGAAGAGTGTTATACTTTGTCTTCTCTTGTGCGTCGCTGTTTGGGGTTCACGAAAACCATCTTAGACTCAAAATTACGCCCTAAATTGCCGTTCAATTAGTCTAAGAAACAACATATTGAAGCCGTCACTTAGCATGCGGGGGTTACCTTTGTGCAGGATCCATTTGCGGCTTAGATGCCCAGGGCAACTCCTAGCTTTCCCTGCTAAAACCAAAAGAGGTTCCCCCAAATAGGCGAAACAAAACGGGTGGGAGCCTTGAACATCGGGTTCCCCATTTAAGAAAAAGCCGCCAAACATGGGGCGCAGGGCCCAGGTGAGGATTCTTCAAAAAGAACAATTCAAAGGCTTACTTCCAAGCGAGTGGATGGGCAAAAACAAGTCCGAACTTTCGGCTTGCCACTGAAAATGATCTTGACAAAAAACGGGGGAAACAAAACTCAGGAAGTGGGAAGGGCGAACCCCCGAGCGCCCGATCATTGGCCGGGTCTCTGCGTCGGCCTCTTCAAGTTCAGCCACCATCTCAACGGCCTGGCCGTTGTCCAGCTTGGCCACCTGGAATCTCACCAGGTCCTCCTGGGGGTGTTGGCCGAAAGGCGCGCAGCGGCTCAGCAAACCAAACCAAACCCCAGCCAACCTGAAGAAGCAACGAGCAAACCAAACAAACACAAAAAACGAAAGACAACAACACAAAAGAAAGCAAACAAGCAAGGAATCAAGCAAACGAAAAAAAAGAAGAAACAATCAATCAATCAATCAATCAATCAATCAATCAATCAATCAATCAATCAATCAATCAATCAATCAATCAATCAACCAACCAACCAAACAATCAAACTAAATCAAAACAAACCACAAACACAACAACACAAACAAGGCAAACACACACACATAAAACAAAAAGCAACAAAAACACAAACACACAAACAAAGAACCAAACAAACAAAGGCAATAAACAAACAACACAACCAACCAACCAACAAACGAACAAACAAAAACAAACAAACAAACAAACAACAAACCAATCAACACAGAAACAAACAAATAAGCACATAAGCAAAGAAACAACCACACAAACAAACCAACAAACAACAAAGATGTGTGGCGTTTAACGCAACAAATACGTTAACTAAAACTGGGGAGGACCTTCTGACTTTGATAGCCCCTAAATCAACGTGAAAACCGTGGGCTCTGTGTTGCCTCTTCGATTTTGGGCCCCTGCAAACATGCACTTGTTTCTGATGAAAGGGAGCGCAAAGGAACACCATTCAGGCAAAAACAGGCAAGCTGGGTACGTGCCATTTGGACATATAATATCTCTCAACCAACATCCAAAAGAGTACCCTGAAGAAACACACACACACACACACACCCAGCTAAGTCTGGCAGTGGAATTCAGATTTCGTCGGGCCTCCAGGTTCAAGTAGACCGTGTACCTGCGCACCTCTGGCGACCAGCCGGGCACCATGTAGGCCCCGCCCACCGCCACCTGCCAGGCTTTCGCTCACCGGGCGCCTGGCTATCCCCATGTTTTCTGCTAAACCACTGGAAACTCTTCAGGAACTTCGCCAAACGACACACCAGAACCAGGGTAGTGGTGTGATCATCCTTCTTCTTCTTTCCGCGTTTTGTTCATCAACTATGGATTTCGTCCACTGCACAAACCCATTTCCCGTTCTGTTAGCCATTTGTGAGGTTCCACTGCGGCCTGCCTAGTTCCCATGACTCGAGGCGGGCTGTCCACTTTGCGACCCCAAAGTTAGGACACCACGAGGCCATAGACAATGTGGGAGACTGTAAAATTGGGCGGGCATCCCATATCCGCCAAACGAAGAGTAGACCAACTAGCTTGGCAAATTACTTTCATTCACACAACGTAAATCATGAGTTCCCAAGGAACCAATATTAGCAGGGATCCTTACATTATACACCTGAACATTGCAACTTGTAAATGGTGGTTTCCAACTTTATTTTGGTGTTGAAAAGGCAACATGTTTCAAATGGCAAGGCAAAATGGAGATCTTTTAAGGAGCCCTGATTAGTCATGGGTCTAATTACTTCTTTGGCCTTCCGCATGAGCCCATGATTTGCCCAGACCGCTTTCAGCGCGACCAAGAAACGATGGTGAAGTCCGCTTTGCCTCACCAAATGACGACGTTTTCACATCCTGGTGGCCTAGTTGCCTGGATCTATCGGCTATCGGCCTGGTTTTGCTTCTTTTGCCTCACGTGGTGCTTTTCTTGTTCTTTGAGGTATGTGGCTCTCTTCTTGAGTGGATGGCCCAAAACAAGCTCCCACACTTGTTGTTCCCCACCAAACTGGCATTTGCAAACCCGAAAAGTGACTAAAGTCCGAAACGGAACTCATGGTGGATGTTCCTTTTCTGGGCTGTCCTCAGATCCCCCGCTACCACTAAACACTAAAAGGATCTAAAAAGCTAAGGAACCGGATGGCTGGGAACCACCAAGCTTAGTACATGTTGGATTCCCCCGGTTCCCGGTCCCAAAACTGGCGATGCGGATTCGGACTTTCCCTCCCCCTGAGGCACAATCAATCCTGGTGTTGAATTGAAGTGGTCTACCATGTCTACCCAAATCCATGTCAAGACAGAACCACCATTTTTTTTGGTTTTCTTCAACCCCCCCAGGCTTTCTCAGTGAGCGAGCTATGGCCGGATCGTCCGTCCCTTGGCCCGTCGCGATTCGCGCCTTCCGCAGCTGGGTCTCGGCTCCTGAGAGCCGTGACACGTTCAAGAGGTACTGGCCCGCGTCCAGGCCCGCCCCGGCTTTGGGCTCCTTCGCGCGCGGTTTGGCGCGAAAACGTCTTGGTGGTTTCTCGGGTTTTCCCCTGTTCTTTTTTTGTGTTTTGTGCTTTTCGTGTTTTTTTGTTGTTTGCTTTCTCTTTCCGGAAGGCGCCCCCCCCTCAAAAAAAAAGAAGGCCCCTGTCCACGCGGAGGGAGTTTGTGGGTTTGGGGGTTGGCCAAAGCCGGAGAAACCAACCAGTCTGCTGGGGGCTATGTCAGAAAACAGCTGTCTGTAGTCTAGCATGGATGCAAGTCGGTGGCCATACTGCCAAAATATGTAGAGCATCCACCGTACCTCTGGGGGTGAAGCCTTTTTGGGCGGTCCTGGAAAAAGAAGCAACTGAAGCCATCCTTTGGTTGAGAAAGTAAACGCGGGCCCTCCCATGCGTTTCCATAGAACAACAATAACAACACGCACTATAACCAAAAACACCTCTTCAAAAGTGACATCACCAAGAGGAACCCCTACTCTTTGTGGGTGTTGTTTGAGGTCACCAAAGGAAACTCTTAGGTGTTCGAATTGAACAATCTGGTCGTCTTTAAAGAAGATATCCACAACAAACCGGTGCAAAACACAGCACAGAAGCAAGGAAAGAGTAACGTTCTGACTTCCGTGTTCTTCGAGTGCCGACTGACGTTCCTTTGAACGCAACTCAAAGAAGTACACATCAAAATTTGCACGCATACGCGCACAAATGGCTATTGCGCACTCTGGTTCATATTTTGATTGGATTCTATGAGAACCCACATGCAAGAAACAGATCATGGAAAAAGCCCCCGAGCAACCACTCCTGAAAGACGCTTCCATACCTTGGTTCCCTTGTACCACAGGGCCCGGTCACCCCTCCGTCAGACAAGTGGCCGCAGCAAAGCAAAACCATCTCTAAAATCCCCAAGCACCAACCCGGCATCTGGGGGTCTGGGGGAAATTAATACAACATGTTCCAGCAGCATACAAAAAAAAAAAAAAACAACAACAACATGTACTCAGATTTTCTGTTTCAACTATTGCGTCAACCCTAACTTGCTGAATTTCAGGCAGAAGATCCCAGGCGCATGAGGGACAACTCGAGCCGAGACTCCACAAAGAGCTCCGACATGGAGGAATCTCCCGGGTCCAGCATGACGGCAGAAGTGCTCATACCTGCCATGGAATTTCTCGGCAAAAACAAGCAAACATGCGTGAAACAGAGTGACTGATGTGATACCGCAGATGATGGTAGTACACTGATAAGTTTATTAAATGTTAGCTGTTGTTGGTGTTTATCCTTGTGTGGCAAAAACAAGGCGTGGCAAACGTGGGTTTGGAATACGCAAGACGTCGTTCGGGGTTCCGTATATCTAGCACCGACCCAAGAACTTTGTCCCAAAGCTGAAAGGAAGTCTGTAATCCAAGCAAGGTGCCTAAGCTCGTTTTCCCTTGAGGTGTCGGTATCATTTGCCCGTATGCTTGGAACCAGCGCATCGCTTGGCACCCGGAAGCAGCTTGCTGGCAAGTCGCTGCTGATCTGGCAGCTCTCTCGAGGGGAAGCGGTGGCCAGTATATGGTAGCCAGCCATGCTGTAGTCCAGGGTAGCCTGCGGCTCAACACTGCCCCCATTTCACATCTCCAATTCGCCACTCTCACACTGGAAAGCCAAGCGATCAGGGAAAAACAAAAAATTACCCCTACCACTGTTGTACCTCAGTTATTTGAGGTTGGAGCCACCCTGTCAATTGTTTAAGAAAGGAGGGGATGCCCTGTGAGGGCTGCACTTTTTGTTTGGATTTCCGAAAGATAAATCTCCGCATTTGAGTGGCGAAGCCATCCAAATCTATATGGACCAAAGTCCCCACTTGGACGCTCTGAAAAGAATCGCACAAGGGTTTGATTGGGGGCTAGCTGCAGCTGTCTTGTTGCTGACCGCCTGGCGACTCTTACAAAAAGAGTGCCATGACAATGCGCGTGGCATCCAAAAGCAGCCCATTCGTTTGAAGCAAAATGCAGCGGCTCACCTGACTTACGCCCCTTTCGAGCCGCGAGCCAGATGCCTTCCGATTGGCTTCCGTGCAAAAACCGAGCCACCAAAACCGGGAGCATCGACTCCGAAAAGGCACAGTTGCCAAAAAAGGCACACGTGATTCTCAACAAAAAGGGAAAACACATGTTTTTCCAAACCAAAACAATTTTTGTTTTACCCGAAAAGGACGACCACCTTAAACATTCTTCCCGAGCTTCCGGCGCCTCGTAGGCCTTCTCCGCGCCCTTCTTTGGGCGCAGGTCGATGGGATCCGCCACCCCATCGTCGTCCGCCAGGGCGTGGAGGAAGAGGTTGGCCAGGTGGCAGGACTCCCCGGCGTTGGCCACCTCGACAGGCTGCGAGAATCCATTCGCAACGAAATGCGTCACCATGGAAACCTAGGCCCGCCAGATTTGAGAGGTTAGAACAAGTTGGTACCCAATTTGTCCTGTAGTCTATTTTAGTAGGGGAACCCTCCCCCCAAAAAGATTTGGTAAAAGGGCGCTACTGGGACACCTGGAAACCATATAGGTACGGGTCAAAACTCCACTAGGGGGCCGCAGGTTTGAGTTCCTGATGCCATTTACCGAAGTAACATGTTGGGTACCTATTTTTGACCCACAGCCATTTCTGCAAATTGTACAGTACATTCAAAGCCTGAAATAATGAAACCCCCAACTACAGGAGCTTTGCCCCAAGTTTTCAGGAGCTTTATCCCCTGGTGAGCTCGTTTTACGCGCTGATAACCTTGCCATAAACTATGCAGAAACCTTTGTTGAACACCATGTGTCGGGTACTCACAGGAGAATCATTCTAGGGTTTCTGAACGGAGGTGCAAAATGGAGTTCATCCTTCAAATGTATGCCCTTGCCCCCCTGAAAGGTTTGGGTTCGTGGTTTGGAGGTATCCCCGATGCATTGAGGGGGAGGAGGGGGTCCCAATTCCAGTTTTCTAGTCTAAAAAAGGGAAAACGGGTTACCCTAAGCGGAGTTTCAGGGGTCACCCCCCTGCCGAATTCCGTTTCGATCTTTCGATCTGTCTTTACGGTGATCCGGCGAAAGAAACGCCATGTTGTTCTCGCCGGTTTCCACACTTGCCTAGCTGTCGAACATGGGGGGCAACCGGCCCTGGTTCCGAGAAACGTTGTGGGATCCTTCTGACACCCTCTGGATGACTCCGAATTCACCTTTCGCTAGACTTAGCCGCAAAAACCTCGGGTTTCGGGTCCCCCAGAGAAAGGGCTTCACTGCAGGCAGTGCACCTTGAGCTTCAACCAGCCAGGAAACACCGGGCACCGCCTGGCCCAAAGAGAACAATCAGACCGACGCTTGCAGGTTTGGAGGAAAGTTGGTTGCCCCGTCCTGTATATAGTTCACAAGCCAATGGGGAAATCAGGAACCCCCACGAAGCCAACCCAACAACCTACAAATCACAAGGTCCGCCCAGTTTGGACCCGCGCGCCCGGCATTTTCCCGCCCAATCTCAGGATTCTGTGTGTGTGTGTGTGTGTGTGTTTGTTGAGGGTACCCTTCTCAAGCATTTAAAGTGAAACCCAAAGGAAAGTCACATTCTTCAGGGCTCCCCAATTTCGTCCTACCCAAACTGAATCTTCGGAGTGGTCACCCCCTGTCGGAAAGCTCACGATGTTCATTTGCCCGGCCTGCACGTTGTCCCGGGGCGTCGACACCTGGTCGGCTGCAAACTCATCCCCAGCTGCTCGCAGCAGCCATGGCAGCAACCAGCGCAGCGAGTGGGGCATCGTGGAATTCAAAGGAATGAGTCTGTCAGACTTCAAAGGAAACCTATAAGGAAAAGGGATCATCCTTTTAGGGGTTCACCCTACTTTGACACATACTACAAGTGAATTTTCGGTTTGCGGTTGGTTCCTCTTAAATTGGTGCGCCAGGGAGGGTCTGAATCTGCATCGCTTTTTCATAGGGACGTCTTTGCCCAAGCAAGTTCGCTGCATAAAACGGGTTGCTCCCCTCTCCTCAAGAACTGGGCCGGTCCTCAAATCCCCTCCTAAAAGGTGAACTGGAAACCCCCACAACACCAACTCAAAGCCTAGAAATCCCCAGCGCAACCGGATGGTCGATTCTCGGTTGATTCATCAAGGTTCTCGTGCTCCCAAGAACCAGGTCTTTCGATGCCCGTGCAGCTAACATGGCCATGATTGGGTTGCGCTTGGACTTGCTGAGCTTGACGCTCTGCGGATTTTCTGAGTTTGGGCAAGTCTGTCCTTATCCTTATTCCCTTTCTTCGGCGAGTCGTACTTATCGCTCCCTCTCGCTCTCTCTTTCTGCTACCAAATGTCATGCACTGAATGTTGGCGCATGTTGCAGGATTAAACCGGTAAGCCGCCCTCACCAAAGGTCTTCGTACATTATTTTGGGTGTAGGGATGCCTTGAGCAAGTGACTCATTCATGGGTCTATCTCAAATCAACAGGCTCAACGCCAACCAAACTAATTAGGTTGTTCACCTTCTGTGGGGTTTCCAATCCTAATCCGTCCGTAGTAGACCGCTGCAAGGAAAAACCACATCTAGCATAAGGCTGCGAGTTTCGGAACCCGAACAATTTGGCCCAACCCATGGCATGCTGACGCAGGTTGCCGCCAGCTTTTCGACGCGCCATCCTCCGGAGTTCGGAGCCGGCCGCGCAAGCGGCGCCCATTTGTGGCGCAAGTGAACCGAGGGATCCCGACATGTCCTCTTTGAACCGCACAACGAAGATAAAGATAACCTCCCTCCAAATAACATGGAACCTGACAGGGGGGTTCTGGAAGACAAGTTTCCTTTTTAAAGGGACCTGGGAGGGTGACTTCTTTGGTAGAGGCAATGTTTCAACACCCAAAAAAGGACATGCGAGGACTCCCGATGCCGGCCGGGGAATCAGAACTAGAACTGGTTGCTGGCGGCTGCCCATGGACCAGACAACATGCAAACATGATATATATATATATATCTGTATGCACATCCCCTGCTAGGTCACAATGTGCTAGACTAGGCCTTTCTAAGACGTGGAACAAACACCATCAACAACACCCCCAGTTTTTAGAACCCGATATCATTTTGGAAGCAAATACCGCACCATTTCCAGGGAAGCTCACCTTACATGACCAAACATAAAAAGGTGATGCTTTGAAGACACCCTTCTTGAAAATATAGGTAACCCTGGAAGAGGTTCCTGGTCGTGTGTTTTCAATCCATGTGGTAGTTAGGTTGTAGCTTGTCATAATAAGGAAAAGTGGACACAATAAGGGAAGTGGAATCCCAAACGGCTGACGTGATGAGCTTCAATCAGAAACTCCCTACATGGCTGGACATGCACATGACGTGCAAAAGGTGCTCAAAGCAAACCAGCCAGATGGTTGGATCCTCAAGGCACGAAGATCCCACATGAGGTCTTCGGCCCTTGGGGGAACCAACATACCGGTATACGAGTACCTTCTGCGCAGGGCAGCACTGTTGCCGTGACTGGCGGTATCCTGAAAACTTGGTTGACGCTGGAAGGGGAGCAAAAAATTAAAATAAAAATAGCAGTTAAGTGGTTGGATTTCAACCCCTAAGCCACAACAAGCAAAAATGTAAACTGTTTCCCAACAACAACCATGAAAAGAGGGCGTCGTGGCCGACGAGCGACCATTGCGGTCCAAGTCCTCACTCCGCGGCGCGGATTTCCGCCTCCTCCGCCACCGGCGGCTCGGGCACTGGGCCCAGCCGTTCAGAAGCGGTGCCTGGCGAATGGCGAGCGGCGAGGTGAGCGTCGAGGGCGCCCCCGCCCACGTCCCCCAAGCAACGCGCGAGCTAACTAGGTCCTCCAGATTTGAGAGGTTAGAATGATTAAGTTGGTGCCCGATTGTTTTTTCAGTTTTGTCTTTTCTAGCAGGGTTCGGAACCCTCCCAACCAAAAAAGACTTGGTAAAAGGGCACGATCTTGGGGGACCTAGCTAAGAATGTCAGCGTCACTGACCGTCAAACCAATTCTTCTTATCCCGCCAGCCGCAGCCAACGGCTCAATCATTCAGCAGCAAGTATCTTGCTGGCAAAGATTAAATGTTGTTCCAGGATGCATAAACACCCCCTATTAAAGGGTCAGGTTTTTCTTGTTTCAACGGAAACCAAGCAATCAGCCCAAACCAAAGCCCCCCTGGATGAAAGGGACGATCCTGGAGCAAGCGTGTGTTCAACACAACTTACTGCCCAGCTTCCAAAGCAAACACTTGACGCTCGCATCTTGCCTCAGCGCCCCCACCACTTGGGTGCCTCAAAGCCTCCTTCTTCAGTGGGGATGGGGCTCCAAACATGTCAGACCAGACCTTGTGACCTTGGGGTGGAGTGGGATTTAGTAGTCCGGGTTCGCCATTCACAACACGCTCCTGAGAATCTTGGCCATGCCATCTTTGTCGGCCAACTCAAATCCACAGCTTGAAGGTAGAGCTGGAACCAGAACCGCGTGAGCTGGTTCAGCCCGCTCGGAAATCAAGCTCAAAGCCTGGTTGCCCACGCTGCACGCTGCCCAGGCGGCCACTTACGGCTCATATGGCTTGCCCAAGCCTTCAACTCGCATGTCCGTGTCTGTGTGACCATTTCTGGCCATCAAGCACCCAGCTTTCAGCCAGTACTTCTGCCGTCCACGGTTGCACTGCTCATCCGCTATCTCACGGCACGTGCTGCTCCTTTGCAGGCGGCGAATTCGACAATCAAGCCCAGGCACTGGGCTTCTTGCTTTGGGTGGGGGTACCAACTCAGCAAGGATAAGACACCCAGATCTCCCTGCATTGAAGCTCAACTCGCGGAAGCAGCCTTGACATCTCCAACAAGCGCTTTGTGATTATATCGCTCATGGCCTTGAGCAGATTTGGCGAGAACTTGGAAGGTCAAAACATGACCTGCTCATGTCAGAGTATGCTATGAATCTCAGTGTGTCACTAGCTCCACATGCCCCATATACCTGCTTGGAAAGGCGACTGACACTGTCCAAATCCTTAGCAGATTCTTATCCAGCGTTTCGCCGTAATCACATCATAAGCAAGCAAAGAAACAACGCAACAAGCAAAACAACGCAAATGAGTAAACAAAACAAATAAGGCAAAACACAAGCAAGCAAGAAAGCAAGCAACCCAGCCAGCAAGCAGGCAGGCAGGCAAGCACACAGAAAAGCCTACAGACAAAGCACACAATGACTTGGCATGTTGCCTCCAATCAAAACATGTTGATCTGCAGTTTCTGGGCCAAATCCAATCAACATATAAAACGCTAAAGATGTGAAATGATTCCAAAAATAGGTTCTGACCTCCCAGCCTGGGTTGGGGTCATTTGGTTGAAGTGACTCGTCAGCCGGGGTTCGTTGCCGCTTGGAAGTGACATTCGGTTGTCCGCTTTGTGCCTGATCGCTCGGCCCAAGAACCAACCGTGACCTTCGAAACGCTGCGAGCAAAGCTGCATTGGTCGGATGGTGTGGAGGCGGTTTCTTGGAAGCCACAGGCTCTAGTTTTGGTGTTTGATGTGCACATCGGATGGTGTTTAGCCCAGGCGGTTCGGGGTAAACCAACTGAGGGGAGAGCCTTAATGAAGTCTTGGGGTTTTAGGGTAAGAGCTTCTTCTTTCTCTGTCGCAAGAAGCTCTACAAGTGCCCGTCAAAATAGACGCCGTTCCTAAAGCATGAACTTCCCACAACTGATTTGTTTCATATTCCCTGGAACGATCATTTAAATGGGAGCACCATTTTCGCTGTACGTGTCATGCTGTTTGGGACTTGCCCTCTGGCCCCCCGAGGTCTCCACTGAACACCAACCCGATGCGAAGGTGGCTGATTCTCCCCATGCCTGCTTTCTCAATTTGTTTCTGGCAATTCGAGCTTGGCCAAAACCTGTTGTCCAAAAATCATGATCTGGAGGCCCTTGAAGGGTATGTTTGACACGCGTTGCGTGAGATGTCGCATGCCTTGATTCCCCAAAGAAGCAAGGCTCAGTCCGCCCAAAGCCCTGGACGCCTTTCTGACTCATCTGGCTGTGCTCCTTCTCAGGTGGAGCATAGCCATCCAAGTGCGCCTGGATCTGAGTAGAGTCCCAAACTCCGTTTGAGGCTTCAAAAAGAAAGGGGCCCAATACTGGGCCCCTTGCCCTTGATGTCTCCTTTTTGTGACCCTTCAATCTTGGAAGGGTAACACAAGGTCATCAAATAAGAACACTCTCAGCTAGGCACACATCCTTTTTTGAGAACTCCCTGCCCTCCTGGCAAAGGGGCGGGGGGGACTAAAGGAAAGCCACACTTGCGCTGGGAAATTATCATTTGAACAACTCCATCTCGAACCCTTTGTGAGGGTCCTGTTGGCACCGAGGTTCAACTTAGCTTGATGCGTCGCCACCTTATCTTGGTGCATGTTCATCGCATGACCATTCCTCTACTCGGCAAGCACCTCTACACGTTCTTTCGCTGTTCGTGGTGGCAAGTAAGGTTTAATGATCTCTCCCATGTGCTTACGGTGGCATTTCTGAAGCACAACCAGCGATTCAAACCTGGCCTGGCAAATCATGAAGAACGCCCGCTCGGGCAAATGGAATGTGGGTTGTCGCATGGGAGAACGCCCAGAATAGTGGCGATGCCCGTTTTGAAGTACTCCCCTGCAGATTGAGAGAGGCAACTCTTCGCAGGCAGGCCGGTTGCATGTTCCATGTCAATTTAGGAAGAGAATCGAAGACATTTATTTTGGTTGGTGAATGCTTTAAGAGAAACCCAACTAAACGAACAAAAACAAGAAAAAACAAGAGAGAGCACAAGAAAACGCCGGGGGAAAAGACACCGCCAGCTGAAGCCGAAGCAGCTGGTTCGACAATCAGGGGGCAGAAAGTTGGTCGCCATTTGGGATTGTTAGTTTTCAGGACCCCCAACATGGGTGGGTGTTCCTTTTGGCTTCCCTCCAGAAACCTACCAACTCCAAACAAAGACGAGCCCAAATGCCAAACTCGCCATAGGTTAATCATCCTCTTTACTGCGGCCAGGGAATTGATAGATTCGCTTGCAGCCTGCACGTGACTTGCTCATTTTTGAGAGGCTCGGAGCGACCCTGCTCAGGGAAACCCAATGTTTGGCTTCATAACAATTCATCTGGGCCTAAAGGGTAACAGGTTTGGCTCGGATGCCAAAAACACTTGCGCGAAATCCCCACGTGGAAACCTTCAACTCTCTATATGGGCATGTCTTTTAGTGGACACCCCCTTTTTTTTTGGGGGGGGGGGGTCTTTCTTTTGGTTCCAGGTTAAGGCCAACCTTTAAAGGGGCACCCCTCATGACAAACCCATGCTACGGGCCGGGCTTGGGGGGTACTCTCAAAAAAACATCACCCTCGTCTGTTTGTTTGTTTTTTCCCCCGCTAGAACCATTGCGGCAAGCAGCACCATGCTCGGAGAAGGACAACGAATCAAGAGGATTCTGTCAAGTTGACTTGAATTCGTGGGAGCAGGGCATCAGCTTAACATGATTCAACCACCAAGGGACCCCCAAAGAATCCTTCACAAGTGATGCAGCCCTTTGGGCCGCGTTCCGCCCTTTTGGCTTTTTGAAGAACTCCAAAAGGGTGACTTGGCAGCGTGCCTCACAGAATTGGGCCCTTGCATGTTCTGTTGCTCAGCTTTCATTTGGCTTTTCCAGCCCCGCCAACTCATGGGGGTTCAGTTAACTGGGAACCGGGGGGTTCGTTGACAGGGGCTTTCATTTGCCTTTTCCAGCCAACTCCTGGATGGTCCAAAAAGTCTTTCAACCGACTCATGGATGGTCCAAACAGTCTTTGGGCTTGGAATCAACTTCAAGCACTGGCCGGCCTCTTGGTACTTCTTCTCCGCCGAGAGTTGGATCTCTTGCCTGGCAAATGATGCCGAAGGATGAAACAAAAAGAGAAAACTGTGTGGTTTGTTGATCCCTTGCTACAACTAGAACATGCTCCGCAGACCTTGTTCAGCGTGTCGGAAACACAAATGACGCACAACAAAGCCCCCACAAGCCCCCCAAGCACGAGGGTGAGGCCGAGTACCGCGCGTCAACTTTGTGATGTTCACACTTATCCCGAAGCTTGTTAATACGCAAACTGAGCCGCAGAAACTCGAAAACACTCAACCGCCTGTGGAGAAAAACGCACGGAAAACACGCGCCACGTTGGCAATGTTGGCGGCCTGAGCTTGAGGCACTAAAGTTGTTTGGTGGAACATGACACAAATCCCTCTATTCTCCAAAAGTCGAACAGTCCAGGGACAGAACAGGGCCAAGGAGCAAAGGGCCCAAGAAATGCCAACAGGCCAACAAGACCGCCCCTGATATGCGGGGGTGAAGAAACGCGGGCCAACAGAAGGGATCTGATGAGGTTTGATAGACGCCCGTGACTGGTCGTGGCCAGACCTCCGACGAAGGCCCCGTTGCGGGATTGGTTGACCAGGAACCCGGCCCCAACAAGGGGAACAAGGGGAGATCTGGATGATTGCCGCCTGGTGCATGAGAAACCAGGGAGTCCAAATTCAGGTCAGTGGAGAGGTCACGATAAGGGTACCTTTTTTTGTAGTCTATTTTAGTAGGAAAACCCTCCCCCAAAAAAGGGCAAAAGGGCACTACTGCGGGACCTAGAAATGGCCCACGGAACCGCGGTCTTCCCTACTGAGGGATGATCATGTGATGAGAGATGCTCAGGGATATGCTTACCGAGTTGGAACAACCTCGTTTCCGCTGCGAAAGATGCTGCAACTTTGCAGCTGCCAGGTAGCCCACATCAACAAACAGCCCAAAACACATGGCCCTTGACTTTCCATCTCACTCAGCCCCTTTTTCGGCTTGCCGCGGCGAGCCTGTGCTTTGCACGCTTTTCCGTTGCAAAGAAGAGGTCAAAGGTCCTATGTACAAGGCCCCGCGGGGCTGGGCGAACCCGGGCCGGCTGGCTCCAGTTCAGGGCTGGCTGGAGTCCTGCGGAGCGGAGGCGCGACTGTGCATAGCCACAAAAGTGGACGGCACGACTGCCATGTCGGGAAGGAAAGGGGCGGTGGAAACCCAAAGGAAGCAACTGGGAGATCCACTTCACAGCTGTATCCAGTCTGGATATTGAATACCTGACTCCATCCCCATGGTGTTTCCTGAACATGAAACTTCCGTAGCACCCTGAAATGCAAAATCAAACTGCATGGGTTGGGAAAATGAATTATTGTTTCAATCCAACCTCTAAAATCGCGATATGGGTGTTGCTCAAAATGGAGGACACTGCACATCAGTTTGCCTTGTATTCCCCTTGAAAACCATCCCAAAAGAGTGCCAGTGATCAAAGCACACAGAATTGAAATAACTGGAGCCAGTATTCCTGTAAAAATATTAATGTCATTTGAATCAAGCTGCGTTGTCCACGAACTTGAAAGGGGCTTCCCCAAAATAGTATCAAGTATTAACTTCCATATCTGTTGGAGGGACGGATTCTACAAGAACGACTGCCAAGGCAAGTGCCCCCCCACTTCACTTCCTCCACTTGCCCAGCTCTGAATGACGTCCACCAATCCCTGGTATGAGTTCCTGAGTGCATTAAATTGGCTGCAGATATTTCTTTTGGGCAACCGGCCACTTTTATGCTCAACAATGGCGAGCTAGGCGTGTGCATTCGCCTTTGACGCCAGACTTGGGTTGTGGCAGTAAAGTACTCTGCTCCAGAGAAGGGTTTCCAACATTCTACCACTCCAACAAGGTGAGTACGTCTTTTCGGCTTCAACACCTTTGCTGAGCGGTCCACGCCTGTCTATGTGCTTCCGGCTTGATGTTGGTTAAACTTGTGAACAGGCATAAACCCAAGACAATCCATGCAAGACAGGCTCAGACGCCAAAGGCCACCCTCTCTTTTCCATGCTTCCTCGCAAAGAAATCCACGATCACAATGTTCCAGTTCACTATTGGAAGACTGCAACCGCACCACATTTTTAAACCTCAGACCTCCAATTGACCTCTTCCTTGGGTTGCAGAGCTACCTTGCTTTTGTTGACCTCGAATTCGACCTTCTGTTCTCGGTCCCAGCCAAAAAAAAACTTCTGGGAGGTGAAACAAATGGTTCAGCCAGACCCCAGCAAGTGGTCCGACTTGGTCCTGATGGCGGGGCACATGGGGTGACACACTTGCTGCGGCAGCTGCGGAGGCCTGCGTTCCCGGTTTCAACGTGTTCGGGCGCCGAAACCTGAGAGGGCGTCCACCAAAGCGCAATTTTTCCCTGTGGCTGTGGGTCAAAAAACAGGTACCCAAAATGGGTTGCCCTGGTAAACAGAAACATGGACCAAAACCTGCGGTTCCCTGGTGGCTTAATTTTGACCCATACTCATGTGCCAAGGGGGGCTAAGGAGGGCCAATCACCTCTTGGTTTAAGCCGACTTCCCCTGGTGTCACCTACCAACCACTACCCCCAAAAGGAAGTGGAGGTATTCGGGAGACAACCCGCTGTTGCCGCTATAAGAGACTCCCAGGTGTTTCTTCCTGCGGCTGATGGTATGAAATTGAGGAAGCTCTATTGGAAGCGGTTTGGGTTGCCCGCTCGCCAGTTCTCGTTTCAGTTGAAACAACGATTCAACCACAGGTGCAAGGCACTCTCCGGATGAACATCACATATGGCACAGCAATTCAGGACACAAACCATGCAACATGCGGACGCAAAGCGCCGAGCCAGAAGACATGAGGAACATCCACAAGTGAACCCCCACCGAGATGCAAACAAATACTGCATGGAGAGCGAACAACCGCATGGAATCGAATGCATTGACATATCATTTCGCGTGCAGCTGGCATCATTGACACTTTACACGATCAATAACGCATGATGTAGCTACATGCAGCTGTGCGTTTAGTTGAAGTTGTCATTCAAGGTGTACTCCTTTGCTCTTCCACAAAACGAAACAACAGAACAACGAGTGTGAACAAGTGACTGAACACCAAAGACAAACGTGCAGCTTGGCAGGCAACAAACATCCAAATGTTTAGAGCTTAAGGGTTGGCTTCGGATCGACGGAGACCCCCATGGATAGCAAATGGGTATGGATGCTACATGATCCTCACAAGCGATCAAGACCCATTTAGACCCCATTTAGACCCCGTTTGAGGTTGTGTTCAACCTGGCAAGCTTTGCTTGAGTTCTCCTTGTGCCCCTCCCCGCCAGAAAAAAACGAAAATCACTTGCCAACAAACGAACAAACCAAACAACCCGATCTAGGATCTGCAGCCAACTTTCAACTTCCAACCGGCACCTTGGGCTGGCTGCTGGAGGCGCCTGCAGAGAAAAGTTTTAGTGCGGCCACGAAGACTCCCAATCAAAATGAAGGTGAAGGAACCCAGAGAGTGAGACTAAGAGGGTCTTTTTGTTGCAAAAATAGAGGATTCCCACGTAGATAGGAATAAAGAGCTATCCCCTGCAGGTGGCAATCGTTTTGGCTTCTCTCAAATCACTCAGAAAGAGGTTTGTTTTGAGTCAGATGTGTCTCTTTTCACCAACAAGGAGGGTCAGTCCTAGCTTCTACGGGCCGCATGTTGGGTTCCCCAGTTCGGTGACCAGGCACGTGTAGGCCCAAAGAAAGCAAATGGGGGGGCGGGGAGGATACCTAGAATAGTCGACCCCGAAGTGTATGTAAGCTAACCAAACGGCACCACACAAGCAAGCGATAACTCTTTTATCCAAGCAATGTGTTGGTGCCAGGGACTCATCTTCCCCTGTCAGATGTCTACGGCTGGGTGGGCCCCATGGGCCACCCACCACAAACTCTCAAAAACTGAAGAACGGGTGTGCAGACTGATAGCGCCCGCCCCTGGGCCGGGGCCAGGGGCACCCAGGCCACAGGGGGGTCTGCCACCAGGGGAAGTGAGTCACCCACCGGCTCCGGTCACGGGAGCATGGGTGGGCCCACGCTAAGATCAAATGCATCTCCATTCAGGAGACGCGGGAGAAAAATGAACTCCTCGCAGAGTTCCTGTTTAGGAACTCTGTGCAAAGGGTCGAACCCCGAGAAATCTGGGTGCGTCAGCTCATCGGCCCACTGGTTGAATTCCCGGGGCACGTGGTTGGCCGCCAGCGAGCAGCCATGGGTGTGGAGCAGGAAGACCAGCTCCATCAGGATAGCCGCGGTGTAGGGCTTCTTGGATCCAAGGTTGAGCATCGCCATGACGTTGCCCTGATTGTCACTGCCCACCGGGAGTCGGACCCGGGAGGACAGAGGGCCTTGGTGCGTGAGGATCATGTTACAGAGGAAGAGCGTGCCCAGCATTTCCAGAGCCGCAATCCTCCGCTTGGGATCCCCATTCTTGAATGCCCACGGGTACTCCTCCACGTGGATCTGCTCGTGGAACCAGTACACCTCCTTCTTCTCCGGCTCCACTTTGTTGGAGCACCAGCCTCCCACAAATGCCAGTCCTTCATCCGAGGCGCTAGCATCGCTGCAACCCCACCAAGAGGACTTCGGCAAGTAAGGGGAGTACTGGACGAAGGGCGTGTTGAAGAGGAACCGCAGCATGAACGCCAGCATCCTGACCACCTTAGGGGGTTTCCCCACCGTGGTGGTGGCCATTTTCCAGGCCCACAGTGGCTGAAGCATCGACTTCGCCAGCGGACATGCAGCAGTTGCCCATTGGATGCGGCCCAGGGCCTTCTCGATGTCCTTTGAGTGCATCGCCTGCCCTTCCACCATGATCTGCAAGACCTCCATCACCAGGATGTGTTTGTTGGCGGCCATGAGAACCTGCGGGATGTTCGGGTGGACCACGAAGCCCAGCCACGTGTTGACCTCCGCCAAATGTGTCTTCTTCCAGCTAAGCGGGGTGCCCAAGGCCAGGAGTGTTGCCAACAGCGCCACCGCCAAGTTTACTGCCCCCTCGCTGCGAAGCAGCCACAGGAAGTCATCCACAAAGACGAAGTTCCAATCCACTTGAGGGAAAAGTGCGTAGAGGACCCTGAGTAGAAGGGCTGCCAGGCGTCCCCAGTAGGATTGGGCACTGGCCATGCCGTATGTGCCTACCTTGTTCACCCACCATTCTTCCCCCAGTGAGGCCACCTGGAACCGCCAGTCCTTCCTGAGGACCTTCACTCTCCGGTGGGCCTTGGTGACGTCCGCCTTGAGCAGCACCCACCTGGTGCCCGGCTCCGGCCATTGCCAGCCCTCGGGTGGAGGTTTAGCGACCTCCCTCTCGGGGCCGGGGGCACCCTGAGAGGGAGGTCCCTCCTCAGCTGCCGCATGTAGCCAATGAAGAGCTTGTACCCCATCCAGCACCGTCGGAGCCGTCGTCCTTTCCACCGTCTGGTTCCTGATGGTGTCATTGGCCCCGCCCACCGAGCCATCGTAGATGGTGCGGATCTTGTCCCCTTCGTCGATGCCCGCTAGGGGGCCTGGGTCCTCCAAGCCACAGCGCGCTGCTGCCTCTACCTTGGTGAGAGGGCCATCTACCATGCCCCTCCAGGGTAGTTACCCCGGCCCGTGGGATGAGGGAGTTCCTGGAACTCCGGCTCCTTCTTGAGTGGCCAGATGCCCGGCGAGACTAGGGGTGGGTCTGTGACCCCCAGTGGGACCCCTTGTTCCAGATCCCGAGGAAACTGGTGGTCGGGGTCCTGAATGTTCATCGCTGTGCAAGATGTCCAGGAAGAAGGGTTGGCCTTCTGCTGGTCGGCCTGCCCCTGGCGCCAGGATCTCCCTGATATCTTCCAGCAGGTCCTCCGGGAAGGGGTGTGACCCGTCCCCCAACAAGAGCGACCCCCCATGGCGACGTGAGGACACAGATCTTCCCCCAGCGCTGCTGCTTTGGACAATGAGTCCACGGGGCCAGCCGTCCAAGTGAGGGCTTCCCACCCCCGTCCCTGAGGGGGCGCTGTTTGAAGGCCATCTGGAGGTACATAACCTTGTCGGAGAGAGTTGGGTCGTGCGTGATCGGCAGGGTGGTGGGCCGATCCGAGATCTCCATGCAATGGCGTGCCCATGGCTGAAGGGGAAGAGTTTCACCCCGTAGTTCGACCTCCCTGCCCGCCGGCTGTGTTGGTGTCCGGACCTCAGGATTGTCTGAGGCCGAGACCGGACGTGAGCCCAAGGTTAGTCCCGCCAACGCTTGTTGGCCGGCCTTGAGTTTCAGGGACTGGCGCTTGTTGTCCCCCGGCGTGTGGGGAGATGGTTCCCTCTGCCGCCTCGGGGGGGTCGTTGGGTTCACTTGGGGCACCGTGCCCCCCCCGGCCTCAGCGCCTCCAGGACGGGTCCTGCAGAGGATGGCCGCTGCGAGACCCTGCATCATCTGCTCTGGGTACCGGCTGAGGTCACTGGAGTTGAGCTTTTCCCCTTCTGGGGTGAGCTCCGTGGTTGCATCGCAGATCATGCCCATGGTGAAGGGGAAGGTCCGTTGACAATGTCGTGGAATTCACTACCACCTGGCCCCGTCAAACTTGATGAGGGAGTGGTGGAGTGCGTTCGCCCATTGAATATAGGCCCGTGTGACCCAGATCGATGAGCACCTCGCTGCGCTCGCTCTTGCTGCACTCCTCCATCGGGTGCTCCAGGAAGGAGGAGCCCACCTGCGGGACCGTTCGTTGACCTAGTCCTTGGTAGGCCAGCGAGGTCAGGTACATCTGTCGGAGCATGCGCTGTCGTTGTCCGTGTCCTCCCTTACCCGGGGCTCCAGGTCCTCCAAGCCCCACAGGGTCTGCTCCGCCCTGCCCCTCACCGGCGGCGGGCCTCCCGGTTTGGGAAACCATCTGAGAATGCTCCACGTTCTGCAGTTGGGGCCGCCCCCCACAAAGGCGACCTTGCCCGCCATGGCCATGGAGCACATTGTAGAGTATGGCTCGTCTCCCAGCATGTCATGTCCAAGATCGCCATTTCGCCTAATGTCCACTGCCCAAATGTGCTCCGAGAAGGCCGGGTTGTAGGCATGGAGGTAGGCATCCAGGGCCCCCACGTCGTCCTTCCCAGCGTACAGCAGGATGAGGGTCGGCTTCGACGACTCCGGCACCGGTCGTGGCGTCCACCTTAGTCTGGACCTCAGTCTTTCCGGGGTGTCTTGCATCCAGGGGAAGGTGGGGCTTGTCCCCCCTGGGGTTTCCGTGTGTCCTTTGTCCGACCCACTGGTCGTCTGGCCGTGGGCTTGCTGCTTGCCCTGACGGTTCTGCCCGCCCTTGGAACGCCCCTTCCTGGGCGGATCCCCACCTCTGGGTCTCTCTGGGGGTTCTTCCCACTGCCTCGGTGGGTGCGGGGGAAAAGGGTGCGGCTTTGTGGAGTGCCCTGGCTGGATCCACTCCCTTTCTTCTGTGGAGGGGCTTCCGGGGCCGGTGGCACCCTGGAGAGGTCCCCTCCCACCTGCGGCCGTCCTGGCCTCCCCAACTCTGTCTGCCTTCCGCTGTGGCTCTGGTGGGATTGGCTCTCCCCGCTGTGTGCGCTCTCGCACTGGTGGCCTGTGATCCCTTCAGAGACCAGGCAGCCACGGGGCCCATGGCACCCTGAGTGGCCTCCTGTCACTTGGGGAGGTGTGGGCGTGGCACATGCTTCGCTGGGGGGGCATCACACACCCACCCATCCTTCCTGACCGGGCAGTTGTGGGATCGACCGCATGATCCAGGGCATTTGTTGTGAAGGTGATGATCCCTGCAGTACGCCACCCCTTTGGGATTCTTGAAAGCCCAGTGGTCTGGCCATGGGTTCGAGGAGGTGTTGGGGGACTTCCCTTTTGCCGCCCTTGGTTTTTCGGATCGAGGACCAAGATCCTTTTCCCCCCTTCTTGGGCTTCTCTGAGTCTGCCACACCTTGGGTGCCTTGCTCTTGCTCTTCCCCTTCGTCGGCGCCCTGTTGAGGTGCTCATAGACCTCCCGTTGCCAGAAGAGGATGATGTTCTTGAGGGCTTCGGAGAGAGTGGTGCCCTGGTGCACCATCTCGTGAATCTTGCGCCATGCATTGCGCTCTGCAAACAGCAAGGTGGTGTCGCTCGGGGGAGGTTTCCTGCCGGCTATGTCCCCCCCATAGAACCAGGCATACCAGTCATCCAACTCCTCCTTGGTGACCCTCAGGTTGCCAAATTGCCGTGCACATCAGGAGCGTCGTCCTGAAGGCCAGGCGCAACCGTTCCAGCTGGCGCCGGGATGTCGGGTGGCTCCTCACCTCTTCTTCATCCTCCCTGTCCCAGCCGTCCACCGTGATCTTCTTGTGGGTGGATGAAGGGCGTCCCCTTCTTCCGGGAGCGCGCTCACGATGTGTTTTGCCGGGATGTAGCCCAATTCGCCCTTGGCAATCATGCGCCATTGCTTCTTGAGGT